ATTTATTTTCCATTACCTCATCCCATTCCATTTGTTTTCGTGTAAGGGGAGTGTACGGCCGTACATTAGCTAAATTGCCTCAACTAGAGTTTTGGTTATTTCCAGTATTTTGTGACCCATTTAATTACAGCTTTTAGTGGTAAAAGCAATGTACTTTTAATGAATACAAGTTAATAGTTACAATTACGTTCTCTTGGTGTTTTCAATTCATATCGGATATAGGGCTTTTTGTAAAAATATTTTTTGTAAGTCTTGTGTAAAAACAGTGTGAAAAATTATAGTTTAATGTTTTGTTTAAAGTTTATTCATTTAAGTATTTGCCAATAAGTAATTTTCTCGATTTGACGTCCGTGTGGCCTACATTTGTTTCACGCATGTGACCTTTAAGGGGTCAATTACATGTCTCGACTCGTGATGTAATCGTAATTATATTTAATTGTATTCAATCGATTTAATCATCGTCATCTGGATTTATATTAAATATAAAATACGTTAGAATCTGACGTCATAATAAATGAATTCTACACTACATATTAATAAATTTACAACTTGTGAATAATATGATTAAAATATGTCATTAAAGGTGGTTTTCACTTGGCGTTGCGTATTCGCTGCATTTGTCCAAATATTTGTACGTAGTCCAAACACGACATCCACACTTGGCATGCCAAACACGTCTTTACACGTTTTCGTTTATTTGTGTATGTGTCTTATTTGTGCAAATATGTCAAATGAAGACGAATAAATACACACACATGGTCTTATTTGACCGAACGCAACAAATAAATGCCAAATTAAGTGCCACCTTAAAACGTATGAAATATAGATTACAGTACAATATTAAAAATATTTGTGAAAGATTCTTGAATGTATGTAATAATGAAGTATCTCATATAATGGTTTTCCAAACCACTTCAATCATCACCTCCTTTGAACAGCATCCAACTATCACACCCGATGTATCAAGGACACTCGTTATCTCTCTTATCAAGTACCATAGATGCTGGGATCTGTTAATTGATAACAGTTATCATTAAACGATTGGTTTTATTTCATCTTACTTATGTATATGATTGTTTATTGTAGATTTTATTTAATTTGCAACCCTTTATCATAAACTTCGTCTGAAGATTTAGTAGATATTTTTAAGTTTTGGTTGATTGTATGTTTGTTTAAAATTTAAATTTAATTATTTAAAATATAATATAACACCGTTTAAACTCTCGTGTTAAATAGTTACGTATTTATATTATCATTTTTATCAACAGAATAATTATTCTTATAGTCATCAGCTAGTGTGTTGTATCTCTTTAAACTTGTAGTCTTATTTAACCGAATATCGTGTGAATTTCAACCATTTTCGTAATACTGTTATTTTCATTTAAGCCCATTTTTAATATAAATCCAGCTCAAACCGACCGCAGTGAAATCATTTATAAACGAAAGATTTTTTAATAAGTCGCATTGATATTTTCAATTATTTTTATTCAACAGTGAATACCATGAGCGTCCTCTTTAAAATAATGTATATATATATATATATATATATATATATATATATATAACTATAACTACGAAAGTATTAAACATATCTATTTTTGTCCCACTCTCAACTAAAAACTCTTTTATATGTGGTGTAAATATTACAATAATTAATATGAATGCAGACAGAACCGCGGTATGTGTATGTATTATCATAATATCAAATACATCACCATCGCAGCCAACACGAGCGTCTTATGTGTATCGTATTCCAATTTCCAAGCAACTGTCACACGAGTAGAATCCATACGATATTAGTTGTATCATTTAAAACGCTGCAGCTTCGTGTATTGCAATACATCAATATACATTCAAAGGAATATGCTCCTTAATATATGCTATTAAGGGTCATATTTGAATTTTGCTATTTGTAATATAGTTGGGTATATAATTGTGTTGTCGTACCGTCTTTTCCGGCTATTGTGTGTTCATTTAGGCCCTACTCCGCAGTTATGGTGCTAGTATTCTTATTTTCATTCATCGATTACTTGGAACAGCTTCTATAACTTAGAAATAATTTATGACGTGTGGTCAAAAAAAGAATTAAAATTCTTGAACACTTAATTTAATATAATTAGTGAAATTTTTCATAATATTGTTTTCTGCGGTAGTTTTTGCTTAGCGTTTATACATTTTTAAACAATTCACTTGCCAAGTTTTGTTACTAGACCGTAATTTATTGATGATTTCAAATTTAATAGTGGAAAAGAAATGTCATTATGTTTGAAATTTAGTGATAACACACACACATTGATATAACTATATATGTTTGGATTGATGTATTACACATATGTGTGTGTGTGTGTGTGTGTGTGTCTGTGTGTCTGTGTGTCTGTGTGTGTGTGTGTGTGTGTGTGTGTGTGTGTGTGTGTGTGTGTGTGTGTGTGTGTGTGTGAGTTACGTTAGTGTGTGTAAAGTTCAATTTACTAGATCAAGCTATTGCTAATACATTGTATATAAAGAATAGCTCTATGCACTTTATTCAAATAAAAACTTTGACAGTGTTATATTCAATGTGCATCTGTCGTAAATTCTCCTAAAAAAATTTCGTTTCCGCTATGTATATCATATTTACAACGCAAACAGGTAACACGTACCAATTGTAACATATTTTATTTTTTTATCAAAGGCATATATATATGTATATTACTAGCTTTCCACCCGCAGCTTTGCTCGCATGGAGTTCGGTTATATCACGTTTTCAAGAGTACTTTTCAAAAGTCTGGAATAAAAACTATCCTATATTCTTTCTCAAGGTCAACTCTATCTCTATACCAAATTTCATTCAAATCAGTTCAGTGGTTTAGGCGTGAAAGCGTAACAGACAGACAGAGTTACTTTCGCATTTATAATATTAGTAGGGATACATTCTACCTCTATTTAGGATTCCGTACAATTTATTTAATATGAGAACCGTGTTATAATATTTGTATTATTTTTGAGAACTTGGTCGTGTAACAGACGTCATCTGAATGGTAATGTCCAAGCATCGTTTTATACAACGCTTCCTGTGACTCATACGTAGCTTCCTGCGGTTATTGGGATGGCCTTATTTAGTTGGTAACATCGTTGGATTTATTATATATAATTTATTATAATTGATTCTATTTAACACTGGCAACACCAGGATATCCTACCGAATACACGGCCCTTAGAATTTATTATATATACATATACTAGCTTTCCGCCCGCAGCTTCGCCCGCGTTTAGTTCGGTTATATCGCGTTTCCAAGAGAACCTTTCAAAAGTCTGGGATAAAAACTATCCTATGTTCTTTCTCAAGGTCAACTACATCTCTGCACCAAATTTCATTAAAATATGTTCAGTGGTTCAGGCGTGAAAGCGTAACAGACAGACAGAGTTACTTTCGCATTTATAATATTAGTAGGGATATATATAAGAGTTAAATATATATTAAATGGAATACTATATGATCGTTTAATTATCTAGATACGATAATATATCATAATATTGAATATTTATAATAAATACACAAATAAAAACAATAATTTATTATTAAATACATAATACATGTGTTTCATAAATAAGTTATACAGAAACGGAGTCGTTTGATAATAAAAATAATAAAGGAATTACGATTATATTGTTGAATATATCAATATACCTACCACCTGTTTCCATCGTCACTACATACGCAGCGTTAACAGTTTTTGATTCATAAATCTACGCATTTTATAGTATTAACGTAGCTTTTTAAGTGAAAACGGAATGTGTGTAGTGTGAATATACAAACTCGGGTTAAACTTACTTAATTAAAAGCGTCATACAAAATTAATATATAATAAAATGTATATAATATGTCTTGTAATCTAAAGACTACCAATATTTATATATAAAAAACATTGTTATGTACTATATCTCATGAATACCTACTATAAAAGGTTTCGCAATTCTACAATATAAAATATTATGAATTCATATAATCCTATATATTATCTATTATTAATTAAATTATTAAGTACATTTGAAATTTAAAACTTATAACATATCTATATGTATAAAAAAAAGTTGTGCTAGTTACACTGTTCATAACTCAAGAACGGCTGTACGGATATTATTGAAAATTAGTGAAGAGATAGTTTAGAACCAGGAGACGGACATGAGATGTTTAATTATGTTTGATCGAAAAGAAGAGAAATTTTACTTAATGAATTCCAATGACTGGTATTATTTATGGCCTCTAGAGTGTAATAAAGTTCGCCCGGTCAGCTATATGTACATATATTACTAATTCCGAAATAAATGCGGATGAAGTCGGGGGCAAAAACTAGTATCTTATAAAAGTTTCTGTAGTATCTTCTCATTTCCATTTAATAATAGCTATGTATATTGAGATTATGAATCGAATAATTCAATAATGATTGGACATCCCTCTTATCAGTACTGATAACGGTGACATACATATATGTTACAAATCATCGTTTTTTTGCCTAATCTGTCATTATTACTAGGAACTACTAAACTTTCCTCGTATGATTAATATTTTTAAATTTTATACCAGTGGTTACTCTAATGTTCGAACAAGTTGTACAATATGTAAGGTGTACATATACATTTCTCTATATCCGGTTTTAGTTACTATATCCGGTGTAAGCTTTCCGTAACGGATAACTCTGTATTGTCATGCATACATGACAGTAGCTACAACTTGATTCATACTTTATCTATAATTCATGGTCTAACGCGGTACATATCTTGGGGGGGATATTTATTCATGAGCTTCTCTGTGTGTAGTCTACAAATTAGTCTCGTATGCAACGCTCGTTTTATATCTAAGACTGTCTGCTAATATTGTGGATTTATTTTTTTATAACGCAGAACAGAATACGATAAAGTGCCCATGTAAAAGTAAAGTTTAGCTTGGGTCAGTTGTCGGTTATTTCGATAAAGTCAATGTGATTGTAAGGAAGTGTTAATTGATCAGTGAGTGAAATAAAATGGTTATGGAGTCCGCACAGCCCGCTGGGCGCTTCTGGCCGTTATCACCTCGTCTCTGGCGAAGGAGTAATGAGTATACTAAAGTTGTGTTTGAGCCGCGACGACCTCCGATATCACCGATCGAAATACGAAAGCACGGAAGGATTGACGAGACGCCAGATCTATTGCGATCAAGGAGCTTCATACAGGATAATATGAAATTGGATGGCAAGGAATTTGGAGAAGTAATCGTTGATAAGCAGAGATGGAGCGTGGATTCAAAGAAACCACCTGTTAAGGACGTAAAAAAAGAGGAGGTAGTGAAAATGAGATCAAAAAAACAGAGACAGCCGAGGCCGAACAGCATTCAGCTGCTCCTGTGTCCATCGAACTCTGGTCATTACAGCAGCAACACATGGAGATACACGAGAGTCAGATCTAAGAGGTTCGTAAACATGAACGACGCACTTATAAACATAATATTTACAATACTACATTCTTCTAAGAAGTTGTTGATCGTTTAATCGTTTAAGATTTCTTTAACGTACTAAAATATAAAATATTTTGTTTATACAATAAAATTAACACCTTAATTTTATTTTATGTCTAATTTTTTTAATCTTTCGTTAATGGGTAATAATTTAACACGTGTTTTATAATGAAATGTGTGACTCTTTCTCGTTGTTGCAATACGTGGTGGGCGTAGCGTGGGCTGGTCGGAGGTTGTGTATTTGCTCGTTCATCGATTGATAAACTCGTGGAATTCAGTTTATTATATCTTATGCTAATTCATTACGAACGAACAACCTATTAGCCAACGTTCAACGTTTCTTAATACTTTACGTATATAATTTATTACCGTGACTGGAATTCACAAGGTTAGGCATGTTGTGATATTTTTAAATAATCAACAATAATGAAGAAAACAACGGTACTTATGTTTACTATATATAAATTCGTTTTTAATAAACCATACGAGTCAGTGGTGCCCTAGTGGTTAAAGGTCCCGACTCTCATTGCCGAGCGCGCGGGTTCGAACCTGGCAAGTGCCGATGTGATTTTTCCGAGTCATATGTACTTTTTAAGAGTATTTAGACACCACTGATAGACGGTAAAGGAAAACATCGTGAGGAAATCTGGACGTATAATTTCACAATTATAAGTTTGAAATCACCAACCCGTCTTAAGCGAGCGTGGTGATTAATGCTCAAACCTTCTCCATGTGAAAAGAGGCCTTTGCTCAGCAGTGGGCTCTGATAGGCCAAAAAAAATATGCTATTAGTATGTTTCCATTCATAAAACATTGTATTCCAAGTAAGACTTGTAAAGTATCGGAATATTTAAATCTGTACAAAAATTCGGTTATTGATTAAAATCAATGAAATACACAATTGGCAGTTAGACAGTTACTATTTACGATTGAATGATGACGCACAGACTGTTAGTTCAGCGTTCATTCCCCCAGAAATATCGAAACAATAAAACTTAGCGTATATATGTCAATTGTAATCATGAAACGGAAAGTATTTCTGTAACAGCATGTGATGGAATAATTTAATCTAGATCTAGATTGTTTTTCAATCTAAATCTAGATTGGTTGTGCACCAATCTAGATGTTTATATATCAGTTAAATGTATAATTACGTTATATCATATGTTAGTTAATTCTAAGTTAAATAGCGGTGATATCATAAGTAGTACATTTGAAAGTTACTTCATTTAATAGAATTATAAATATAAATTCTTATGTGTTATAGATATTGTGAAGTATTTCAATCTATAGATGAGATTATGTCATTTATTGATACTTATATTTATGACTACAATATATATAATAAAGTTATTTATTAAGTTGGTTTGTTGGATATCTCATATGTTATATGTTATACTTAATAATTGTCCTAATATTTTATATGGTTATCGTGTAATAATTTTATATATGAAATTAACATAAAGTATATTTATTTCAAGTTTGTCTTGTTATATATGTATGTATTCCATATTATATATCTTTTTATTCAATTTAAAAACAAAAGTTCGTATTATGGTGCTTACTGTTTTTACCTTCTTTCACCATTTATATAGGTTGTTGATGTAATACATACCTTCAATACAACACTATCCTTGGGGTCGATGATCTGTGACACAGAGTTTTATCATTTTCATTACGGTCCGGGGTTCTCAACCCCGTTGTGACATTACACAATTAGCGATGTTGACACATTATTACTACTGATAACGATCTTATCTTAGTTCTGCAATTGTATTTAGGTTAGAATCGGAACTATTATATGAAGATATTATATATATTACTCTATTTATATTGAAGGAAATAATATGTTAAAAAGTTGACTATCGCTTATCTTCTTAAAAACTTTTCTTTTCAAAGATCAATTCAACACATCTTGAGTATGATAAGAGTATTACCCAAAACAAAGTCTTTGCAATAAAAAAAATATTAATCAGACTGTACTGAAGGATTCATTGCGTTGCAAATACATATACTGAAAGTCAGAAATTGCTCTTCTTTGAAATTGGTTATAATTACTTCTTATTAATTAAATTAATCAAATTAAAGTTAATAAAAAACAGACGCTTAATTTTATTTATAGGTATAGATATTGTATAGTTTTTATATAGATTTAAGAGTAAAGAGGCTTAGCGTTACTTGAAAACTTTGAAAGTTTGAATCCATTCATATTGCATTTTATTACAAAAAGTAAGGAATATAAATAAATTATGTAATGTTTTCAAATTCAAAAAGCATAGTTATATATTTTTAACATAAACAAAATCTTCAAATATATAAGTACAAATGTTTATTTACTTTAGTGAATTTTCTGTCACTATAACTTCTCACAGAGATTCTGATTAAATTTTCAATACAGTTTACAAATGTTGTCTTTCGACTTGAATATGCTCTACAATATCCTACGCGTCAATAAATTGAAACCCACTGTTTATTATAAAATACTACTACATAATATACTATATTATATGTAAAACATATTCCATGAAAAGATTTTCATGCATATAAGTTACTCAATATTTGGAGCCAATTTATTTTATAACAATAACCTGTTTTTATATCGATCATTTAATCGTTACATTTATTAATTCATATTAAATAAAAATCCCTTAAACGAATGTTAAATACAATAAAAATACTAAAAGGTTGTTCGGCCTCTAACACGCGATGCATTTGCATGCGTTGTATGCAGCCAATCGATGAGGGGGGGTTGGAGCGACCCCCATTTGGGTAGTGGGAGGGAGTAGGGGGTTCTTATGTCCTTGCGGGCAGCACATAGCCGCCGGTCTGTGGATAATTTAACGAAGCCTATGTGAACATCCGTGAATAATTGATCACCGATACACAGTTTGAATAGTATAATGGAATTGTGTGCATCTCTAATTCACAATAGATTACTTACTAGATATATTTTTACACCTAAGTTGATGATTTTAGTATATTTAGAATAGCTAATGAAAATAATATGTTCTAGCCTGTACATTGAGATTAATGAAGTCTTAACCTAGTTTGTATACTAGAATAAACTTGTGGCGAAGTTGCATAAACATCTCAAACTAACAGACGTTATATTCTTGGTAAATATTTTAAAATTAATATTGGTATTAACAAAATAATCCAATAATATTATGATAAATTATGTATTGCAAAATTGTCTGTATTTTAAGTATGAGCGTTAGTTTTCAATTCATCGAACAAATTTAATCAAGCCATCAAACGACTTTGATTTGCAAACTCAATTTAGATTTGGTCGTCAAAGCTTAATATGGGTTTCGATAGAACACGTAAACACTTTGTGTTTGACAGTTATTATGTCATGTGAAGGCGTACTAAGCCCACAAGCCAATGTATTATAACTTTATTACTAAAATATGGCAGCTATTTGATCTGTTACACAATTTTCGTTTTCTATACTTATCACTAGTTCGTATTATCAAACTTTATACCGTCAGCTTCCAGTTCATTCATATATCATTTATGAATAGAAAACTAAAAACTGTCTGTTTTTAGTTCGCACTCGTACTTAGGACACTCGTTGTTTCAATTATTGGTGCACTATCATCATTAATCTAAGAGCTATCTGTATTTTATTCTGTTTTATTTTACATACGTATGAATTTTGTAATAATAAATTTGTATATGAATATACAGGATGACTGGTGAATTACTATCAATATTTAAGGAGAATACTCGGTACATGATTGATTGAATGAGAACATTCGAATTATGTAAAAAAATAGGTACTTAATTTTTGACCAAATTTCCGTATAAATAAATAAAGTGTGGACACGTTCCAAGTGTTCCAAGTGTGAACGCGTGCGGCGGCGTGCTGATACAACACCACGCCGCCGCGCGCGTATGTGTGTGTGTGTGTGTATATACCTAATCTGTAGGGTGCTCACACGATGCGTAATTAATTACATAACTTTTGGTTAACTTTACTTAGAAGTTTATTAATATTTATGTTATATTAATTTTTATTTTGTCATATATGATCGTCAAATATCACGTCCTCAAATATCGATAGTAATTCACCAGTCACCCTGTATTTTTCACATTCTTATAACATTTAATCATCTTCAATAATCGTAGTTGCTTTGCTATATACGCATTTTTCATTGTTTCTGTCGTATATATAGTATATGTCAGGTATATAATATATATGTATATGTTGTTTGTTTCCAGCCATGAGCCGGAAGGTGGCGGGAGGTGTGAGGGTCCGCTAGCTCGAGCCATGCAGCCTTCACAGGAGAGATCACCCAAAAGACAGGTCCCGACGGCCACGCATGGTAAGAATATTTATATATAAACAGCAATGAATATGTTTTTACTATATATAAAATTAATACGTAATTGAAACTATTTAGAAAAACTTTTAAGTACATAGTCTGAAAGTTTTTTTCTTTAAAAATGCTGACAAATTAAAAGTTATTCCTTTGTATGTTGTCTAAATTTTTAACTTCGTGTCATTTATATCTTTATAGTTACGAAAGTATGATAATATGCTTGTCTGTCTAAGTTTTGTTATTTTAAAGTGGACATCATTTATTGTTAATTCGTTTGAGTAAACGAAACTTGTATTGTTTTTCACTAAAACTTCATAGTATCGACATTAGTATAAAGTGTTCATATGCAATGAACATATATCAAATAGTTACAAAGTTAATTTTAATTAAAACTTTCACATATTAAAACGCGAGAACTCAAGTAATAAAGACAACCCGTACTAAATTCTGATTTGTACCCTTATTATAAGTTATCGTCGTCACTACATACGTAGCGTCAACAGTATTTCATTCATATAACTTAACACGTTATAGTATTAACGTAGGTTATTTAATGAACAACGGAAAACGCTTTGCATGTAGTGTGGAAATGAAATTTTGGGATAAGCAGTATTTCATTTGAGAAAAGTTTTTTTAATAAAATGCTTCTGAAACAACTGGAAAGTATTATTATGTTTTTTTTTTTATTTCAAATAAGTTTATGATAGATTTTCAATTAATTACTTTGTAATAAATTTAGATTATAATCTAATCTACATGTACCTAGTACCTACTCTATTTTTAGAAGGTTGAAATGAGTTTCTTTTAATCAAGGTCTGCTTGAATTAATTTTTTAAGTCTGAAATTATTATGCCTAAAATGTATTTGAATTTTTAATATACCGAGATGAGGTTCTTTTTGTAAACTATAACTACTTATGTTCATAGTTTTTGTTAGGTATCAATCATGAACGTATGAAGTAATGTGATATATAATTATTATATATATCATCTCGAGTATAATTTAAAATTAAATACTTTATATTCATTACATAATTTTATTTTTGATACTTAATTATTCTGATAGTTCAATGTTTTTGTAGGGACATGTCTATGAATAATTCATAATTGTCGAATTACAGTACACTGTGCCTCGTTGCACTCTCATAATAAACCCATCCCATATACATTGCGTTTACCAAGTGAAAATAAGTGGTAAATGTTTTACAGACATTTTCCTTGTACGTCTTAATTCCTCTAATCCGACGACTTAGCGTGGGTAATGATTACTTGAACATTCTGACTGTGAAGTGTTCCTTTATAAATATGTAAGTTGTTCGTCATACAGACAGGTGTCCGAAACTAACGGAAAATATATGCTAATATATATTAATGAGATTAATAGTTAATTATCGGGAAAACTTCAAGTAATTGCTATGTTTTTCCTTTACCCATAATGGAATCATATATGCCATCCTCATTCAAAAAGTCCGTTACCACGCCACTAACAAATAAGTCATTTAATATACTCACAATGTATCGTTTGTCGGTCGTGGGTGTTGAATTTTAATTATATATTTTTTTCTTGGCACCAGCCATTTTTCTGAGAAGGCTTTATATGCAAATTTTATATAAGCATTGACGTTGTTATACCCAGAAGATTTAACGGCGACGTTTAAGGGAATACGATAATAGAATGATCAATTAAATAGCTTTATTAAAGAATTTTCTTCAAACAGGAGCGGCAGCAGATCCGTCAACTTTAAAAGTCCATCTTCCGAACGGTGGTTTCAATGTCGTAAGGGCGTCTCCAGACGAAGATGTCAGATCTGTTCTGCGATGTTTGGCGACCAGGTTGGCGACTGGGGATCGTGTGTACGCGTCCTGTTATGCTTTGAGGGCTAGAAGACTAACTACTGGAAAGGTAATACATAAGATTATAAGCACGAACTAATGACTTAAAGGTTTTTTCATAGAGACTACGGCATATCTGTTACTTTTTCTTCTACCTAGCAATTTCCCAGCTTTGGTCAGGGTCAGCCTTACATGTAGTGAATAGTTTTGGCTAATTGATTTTTACGACCAGCCGCCTGCCTGACATGAACCCTCTTTGGGAATGCATTAATCAGTGATGTCTAAATACTCTTAGAAAGTACATATGATTCGGAAAAATCACATTGGTACTTGCCAGGATCGAACGCGCGACTTCATACATGAGAGGCGGAGGCCTTTTAACCACTAGGCCACCACTAACTAATCATATCTGTTACTATGGGCATATATTTACGTCTTGTTGCTTATTGAATGCACTCATTAGTTTAGATCTCCTTCAGACTTGATCCGCATCATTAATTTGTTCTGTTCAACTACTATCACGTGTCACAATCACCCCATATATGGTAATACTACGTAATTGTATTATATGTAACACAAAGTACAAAGCAAGAATAAATGTTTTAATGTAAATATAATAAAAAAATCTGTTATCTATAATAACTATCGAGAAAACTGTAAAGGTCATAAAAAATGGCCTTTTGTTTCTCAATATTGCACAAATCGAAACTAATTTACACCTTAATTAGAGGAAAAAATAAAAATTCTTTGATATTTAAAAATAAAAAAAAGTTGTTCATAATGCAAAGACACTTTGATCTTCTTTAAAATTTTTATTTTTAATATTATTCTAGAAGTAAACTTTAATAGATATAATTAAGATTGAGATATATTAAGTCATTAAAATATATTTGTATTGATTGGGATTGAAAAACACTTCATTATAATTCCATATTAAATAATTATAAGTTGTTACAATTCTATTATAGTATTTTTTATAACATCTATTTAGGTTAACTATATAAATTATCTAGACCAAGCTATATGGTAGAGAACTTACTTATTTATTACATTATATATATATATATATTTCCGATAATAATATCAAAAAAGGATGCAAGCCAAATTAATCCCTAAATATATGTATGATAGCGTATATAAATGTATAATATATTACATGTTGTTGTCCAGACCCGTTGGATCCACCAAGACACTCCTGTCTCCGAGCTCACGACTCGCTGGCCGGCCAGTGAGTGGCGGCTCGAGCTCAGGGTACGCTATCTGCCAGCCAATTTAAGAGACCTCTGCGATTCAGACCGCGTCACCTTCCATTATTACTACGATCAGGTAAATTTAATTAATTTATTTATTAAGGCAAACACAACAGGTCACAATCACATAGAGAATATTTCTTAAACATTGATAGTATCAAACAGATTATAACCCTAAGGGTGCATGCACAACATGACGGGATTGCCAATTATTACAGTTAACAAATTCCAATACAGGAGATAACTATGTATTAGTACTAAACAATAACAACAGTAGGTATATCAAGACCATAATAAAATTAAATTACATGGACTAAACAAAAAAAGACAAAAATAAAATATTAAAAGTGATATTCAATGAAATTACACGAATTAAATTTACAAGAAGAAAATAAATAAATGGTATAATAAATAATTCTCATACAAATTACATATCCTATATATATTGTCCTTTGTATTTTTCTACTTAATGACCAAATCCGTCGAGATATCTTAACAAAACTTTTTTGCGGCATCGGACATCCCATTCTCTATCTTAAAAGCATTCAAAACTTTTCATTTTAATGTTCAAACATCTAAATACAACATTTTTTCCACAGGTTCGGCATGACTACCTCAACGCCAATCATCCGATGGTCGACCAGGACTTGGCGATTCAAATATGCTGTTTAGAAATAAAGTAAGCGCTAGTTCTTATATAAATAATCGTATTAAATCTAAATATATGTATATTTTATATATATGTATGTGTTGAAGTTCAAAGAATTGTAGACAAATACATTTTTACGGTACATATATCAAGTGTATGTATATGTATTTTTCTGTTTAACAGATATTTCTGCAAGGACATGCAAATATCTTTGGACAAGAAATCTAATATAGAATATTTGGAGAAAGAATTCGGTCTGCACAAGTTCCTCCCAAAGTCTGTCCTAGAGGCCATCAAACCTAAAGTACTCAAGAAGGCGATACAGCAACAGTTCAAAAAGGTATGTACATCAAAAAGAAATAAACCTTAACACTTAACATTTAAGGTACATATTCTAATATTTTTTGTTTTATCCAAATCAGGTATCAAATCTGAGTGATACTGAGTGTATGTTGAAGTATTTGGAGACTATGCACACACACTATGGGTATGATCGTGAGACTTTTACGGGAGCACTTGGTACAGGGTGGGCTATACCCGTGGAATTAGCCATTGGACCTGATATTGGTAATTATTAATATATACTAAGGCCCCTCATATATAATAAGAGAAGGGCTCTAGGGCCCCCCGTAGTCCGTTTAAAGGGGCCTTCTATTCTATATGAGTAATTAAGCTAATGCATTTAAATATTTTGTAAGATTATAAGAATACCTCAATTTCTGTAGTTTTAAAATAATAATGTATATACATATTTTATTCTCTATGTCACTTTCCGATATGTATTATAAGAACAATCTTATACTTAATTGTTAAAAAATAAAAATTTAATTGTTCACTATTAATAATTGAATTAAAGTAATTTGGATTCTATTGTTACAGTATAAGTTTTATTTTCCAGATATATCGTACGTGTCCCACAAGGCCGGCGAGCCCCCCACTTACACCAAGATAGCGTCCTTCAGCGACATCATCGCCGTACAGACACTCAAGTCAAACTGCACGCAGCAGTCACAGTCACAAGTAAACAAACACTCATTATATTTAAATATATATACTACTAGCTTTCCGGCCGCAGCTTCCCCCGCGTGGAGTTCGGTTATATCGCGTTCCCAAGAGAACCTTTCAAACGTCTGGCATAAAAACTATACTATGTTCTTTCTCAATGTCAACTCTATCTCTGTACCAAATTTCATTAAAATCAGTTCAGTGGTTTAGGCGTGAAAGCGTAACAGACAGACAGACAGACAGAGGTACTTTCGCATTTATAATATTAGTAGGGATACCATTATTTCCAAAGCTTTCTAATAATAATAAAACGATAGAAATGTTATATATAAGCTAGTAATAGTGGCATCAAAATCGATCTATCCATTCAACAGATTTACCAGAACGAACACACAGATAGACGAAAATTGTAAAGAATTCCTACTATATTTATGTATATGAATTAAATCAGTACAGAATACTTCAATATAACAAAGATGCTTGAATTTTATATATATGTAGAAAATTTCATAGGTGTACTTAGTAGACAACTAATTGATTGCTCTAATATAAGTGTTTGAGTGTATGTATGTTTGCGTGTTCCAGACCAGCTCGTGCGGCAAGGCGGCCCTTCAGCTGCGTGTGAAGGGCGCGGCGGAGACGTTAACTATAACGTGCAGCAGTGTTGAGGTATACTTGATCATTCATTCATTCATTATATACACATTCATTCAGTATATATACAGGGTGACTGGTGAATTACTATCAATATTTAAGGAGGATACTCGGTACATGATTCTCATTCGAATTATGTAAAAAAAATAGGTACTTAATTTTTGACAAAATTTCCGTATAAATAAATAAAGTGTTGACACGTTCCAAGTGTTCCAAGTGTGGAGGCGTCCGGCGGCGTGCTGATACAACACAACGCCGCCGCACTCGTATGTGTGTGTGTGGGTGTATACCTAATCTGTAGGGTGTTTACACGATGCGTAATTAATTACATAACTTTTGGTTAACTTTACTTAGAGGTTTATTAATATTTATGTTATATTAATTTTTATTTTGTCATATATGATCGTCACAAATCACGTCCTCAAATATCGATAGTAATTCACCAGTCACCCTGTATAATCATCAACAGCCTATCAGAGCCTACTTCTGAGCCTCTTCTCACATGGAGAAGGTTTGAGCATTAATCACCATGCTCGCTCAAGACGGGTTGATGATTTCAAACTTATATTGAAATTATAAGTCCAGGTTTCTTCACCATGTTTTCCGTATGTCAGTGATGTCTAAGTACTCTTAGAAAGTACTTATGACTCGGAAAAATCACATTTTTACTTGCCAGGATCGAACCTGCACCCTCATGCATGAGAGGCGGGCCTTTTAACCACTAGGCCACCAAGACTTATATATATGTATTTTTTTTCCCAGGCTGCAGAAAGCTTAGCGGATCTAGTAGATGGTTACTGCCGGCTAGTGACTGACTCGCAGACATCGCTGTGGAACAGAACTAGTATGTATTATAATATAGATCCGTTTCTAAATGTTCTATCATTAATACTTAATATCTCTTTCAAGCAACTGTATGGAAACAACTGAACTGTCAGTGCAAAAGTGAGTTTAGTTTGTATATATGATATATATACTTATATACATATATTATGTATTTATGATGTCAATAATATAATTATTTTCAATTAATCTTAGTCTATTCATACACATGACTTACAAAAGCATTTAACATGATAAACATAAAATATAATACAATATTCAACTTCCTTATATTCCAAAGTTCCAGTTACAATAGAAAATTCCAATAAAGCTTGAAAAACTATTAAATTATTTACAATAAATAAAACATTTATACTAAAAATACAAATTATTGATTGAAGCTTCTTAAATTTTTAAGAGTTTTAAGTTCGTATTAATTTTTTGTTACCGTAATTAAAATTATTCTTGATTCGTTCAATAATAATATATATAATATCCTAGCGGCTGAAGTAAGCAGTAGTTCATCAGAAGGTAAAAGCAGTTCCTTAGAAGGTCATCACACTATGTTGTCAGAAGACTACGCCGAAATAGCGGACGATGACCCCGACTATTCAACGCCGGCTGGTCAGTATATATTATTAAATACATGTTTCATTAGTATAAATAATAGTTTAATATTAAGTAATATATTTATCACTATATCTTCTAGTAAGTATAACTAGTGTCAATATCTGAACACAAATATGTTACAGTACATAAAACTTGTTTACAAAGTTTATCTTTTTCAATGGCCGTACTAAAGTATTTTTTAAGCTATCTATCATAAACTGATATTAGACTTAGATTTTTATGTTATTGATTTATATTTTCTATTCTGTTTCAGTTCGTGACTACGAATTGGTTCGTAATCAAATTGAATTGACCGGCATTATTGGTGAAGGACAGTTTGGAGATGTTCATAAAGGTTGGTTTACACTGATTTACTAACATGAGTGAAAGTAACTATTATTACATACTTTACATATAATTTCATTAATAATTAATCCATTAATCATTGATTCCTCGTTTGTTTATAACTTGTTATTATTCCCAGGTACATGTAAGGTGTCGGGTGCCAACCACCCTTCCCTCAGACGACAGCTACAGGCTGGTCGAGGTGAGCTGGTACTCCCCGTCGCTGTAAAAACATGTAAAATGGACGCCGATCTAGACACGGCTGAGAAATTCCTCGAGGAAGCTTGTAAGTTATTCTAAAGTTGCATAAAATCAATATTATTAATATTTTTTATATATCAAAGAAATCCGTGTTGGTTACACTATTTACAACTCAAGATGACTATACGGGTTTGGCTGGAAATAAATTAATGGAGAGATAGCTTAGAACAGGGAAAGGCCATAAGATACTTTTCATATGATTGAAAAAGAAAAAAAGAGCATCAAATACAAAACCTCTTATCAACTGTTTTTAAGTATGAATAGAGTAGAGTTCGCCCGGTCAGCTATATATTTCTATTTCTGAAACTAAAGCAGACGAAGTCTCGGGCAAAAACTAGTTTTGTATATCAAATATAAAAAATATCTAAGTATAGTGATTTCGAATTTAACTAACTTTCACTAAGTATTTTAATATACATATTTCAAATTCGGCTACAATTATGAAATTATGATATATATTTTTATAATATTATGATATTTATTTTAGCAGATTTTTACATTTAGGCAGACGAGATGTGAATGTCTGCCATTTGATCTTGTTATTTATCACCTACCGCCATTGATTTCTTAATTTCCTGGCGTATCACTCTGGATGCCATACTAAGACTCGCGAAAATCTTAGATCTCATTAATTTCAATAATTCAAGTATATTTGGTAATTATTATGTTATCCATTCTCATGTTATTAAATCTCCGCAGACATAATGCAGCAGTTCTCTCACCCGCACATCATCAGCCTGGTGGGTGTCTGCTCCACGCCTCCTATATGGATCGTTATGGAACTGGCGACATTAGGAGAGATGAGAGCATACCTACAACAGAATGCACACAGGTTAATATATATTATAAATGTATATCCCTACTTAATATTATAAATGCAAAAGTAACTCTGTCTGTCTGTCTGTTACGCTTTCACGCCTAAACCACTGAACTGATCTTAATGAAATTTGGTACAGAGATAGAGTTGACCTTGAGAAAGAACATGGGTTAGTTTTTATCCCACACTTTTGAAAGGTTCTCTTGAAAACGCGAAATAACCGAACTCCACGCGGGCGAAGCTGCGGGCGGAAAGCTGGTATAAAAATAATTAAGAAATAATATACATATAATTTTGTATATAATATATTAATTAAACTTATTATATAGAGGTATATAATAATTAAACTTTTTAAACCTTTGAATGTAATTTAAAATTAATTTTGTACAGAATATGCATTTGATGTAAAAAATTAAGTATTTATAACTTCTTTCTGTCATGTTTGTATGTGCCTTTTAATCTCGGTAACTAATTAGCATGATAATTCTAAAATAGATTTGTAACTATATACATATGTACCTTATAATTTATCATTTAATATATATACATACATATATATATTGTATCTCCTGTACATATTATATGTGATATCATATCAGTATGTGTAATATTTCCAGGTTGGAGACATGTACTCTAGTGTTGTACATCTATCAACTGTCCACCGCTCTCAGTTACTTGGAGAGCAAGAAGTTTGTACACAGAGATATAGCTGCTAGGAACGTGTTGGTCTCCACACCTACATGTGTTAAGGTAACATATAATAATTATATATATATGATAAACATATAGTATAGCATGAAATTACAAGATTATTCTGTTTTTATAACATTGGAATTAAATATACCAAAGGTCTCTGGTTTAAGCCCGGCTTATATTGTAATTGTTATTTCAACATAGACTCAATATTGATTTAGTATTTAACAAATGTTTCCTTTTTTTTTGGATGACTTAACTAATCTATATTCTGTTATAATAATTTGAAAGACAAATTGATCTTATCACCAATTTCTAATATTTATATTCTGTGAGATAAACTCAAATATTACATTTGGGAGAAATTTTACATTAAAATCTGTCTCACTAAATATATATATATATATATATATATATATATGTGCGTGTGTGTGTGTGTGTGTGTGTATGTGTGTTTGTGACATTATTAATTCAATATATATTGCTACTATTAAGATCGTATTATTTATGTTTTATAAGGGATGTGTTTATAACTTTCAGTTGGCTGATTTTGGTCTTTCAAAAATGGTTGAAGACAAGTCATACTACAAGGCGTCCCGCGGGAAGCTGCCCATTAAATGGATGGCGCCTGAATCTATTAACTTCAGGAGATTCACCTCTGCTTCGGACGTGTGGATGTTCGGTCAGTTTATATCTTTATATATATAATTCTTCTGTGAGTGTGTTTGTCACTGAACTTCTCTCAAACGACTGGACCAATTTTGATGAAATTTTTTGTGTGTGTTCAAGGGGATCTGGGAATTGTTTAGATTCACAATTTTGTTTTTTTTTTTTGACATTAGATTTGACAACTAACTAATATGTCAATCATTCTGTCGTACTTCAAAACACGGAGATTTATGGCTTTAATAGGTAAACTCCAAAAATATAAATAAAATCGTAACAGATATTTCTTGATTATAGGACGATACGAAGTTTGCCGGGTCTTCTATTATACATATATATTAAATAATAATGCTATACGTTTGTCTGTATGTCGTAATAGAATTTTGTTAATCTCAATACAAATAAATGTAAAGCGCAATTCTGATTGGCTCTCGGCCTCAACCGTTGTAATTACGTCATAACCAATCACATGGCGTTTTTATTGTGATTGAATTTATTTATTTTTTATATATACAGTAATACCCCGCTTAACGCGACCCCGTTTTGAGCGGTTTCACTATAAGGCGATTTTCAAAATTTTATTCAGGTTGGGACATTGCAGAGTATAGACAATAATGATGACCGTGTCTTGAACGTATGTCAAACGATTAAAAACAGTGTTTGGTGTTATGAACGCATTTTACAAGAACGTAAACAAAACGCTACCCAAAAGATAATACATGTCTTTTTTCTTAAAAAATAGGAGTACCTATGTTTTGTATAGTGGTCTTAGAATTAAAGTGATTGATTAAAATGATTTTTATATTTGTGTATTAAATTTTGACTGTGTTTAATCATGAACCTCGATATACGCGAATTTCAGTTAACGCGATTTTCTTCGGAACGTATCCCTCGCGTTAAGCGGGGTATTACTGTACATATGTATATTAGCAAAAAAAAAATCATAAACATGCTTCAAATTAAATATTCTTTTGTATACATATAAATTTCTGGCGATATAAAATTTATGCAATTTCTCTATTAAATTCCTAACACATATTCTGTATATTCAAGGTGTTTGTATGTGGGAGATTCTCATGCTGGGCGTGAAGCCGTTCAGTGGAGTCAAAAACAACGACGTGATCGGCAAACTCGAGAATGGTGAACGACTGGCGCTACCTCCGCGATGTCCGCCGAGACTGTACTCACTGATGTCCCACTGCTGGGCTTACGAGCCATCACAGAGACCCACGGCACACCAGCTGAAGGAAACACTCTTGTGAGTATAGCATAATATTATTGGTATGAGATGTCCTTTAGATTTCTATATGTTCTTCTGTTTTGGAATTGAATAGGATAAGGTTTTTCACATTTATGACAATATTCTTTCACACAATAATTCCTAATTAAAGTGCTGCTAAAGAAATAATCTATTCAATCTCGACTCTCCTGTTTAAACCCATACATATTTACAAAAAATAAAAAACAGTCATGAAATAAGATGAAAATTCTACTTCATATCTCTCTTTTGACCAGTTTGTGACTGAAAAAAATTGCCGTCAGCCATTGTAGCTTGACGATTGATTTCTTTATATCGGTCTCTTGAAACTATATCTTCTATTACTTCCCCGTCACTTTTTATAATAATAAATAATTAGTGAGAATATATTTACAGTGAAATCCTGCAAGAGGAGCGGAACACGGCGTGGGACACGATGAGGAGGGAGAACAGACGAGTGGCGGCCGCCTCGTGGGGGGACGACCCGCCGCCTAAACCATCACGACAACCACACACACACGCACCTGGTACACACACCTTAGTAGTGTAACACAGAATGTATCCTAGTATATATACTAATGAGTTCTCACGTCCCCAGGAGCCGACCCGGGCGGTCCGCAGACGTACATCGTGGCGCAGAGCCCGGCCGTGCTGGCGCAGCTGCTGAGGGACAACCCCGCTCGCGCCGACCCGCACGCCTACACCACGCCCGCCTCGGTATTCAACACGCTCGCTGTGTTCACGCCCGACCCCGCCCCGGACCCCGCGCCCTCCCCCGCGCTCCTCACCCGCCCCATCCCCGTGACCCAGCTGCACCGCCTGGACCCGCTGGTCCCCGACGAGGCCCCCGCCACGCACCAGGTCCGTGTCGCGGCGCCCGACTCGTGCGACAACCTCGCCGCGCCACCGGACGAACCGGACGTGTACCCGAGCCGCGTCCGGTCACTAGAGCGCACGCCGCGCGTCCCGGAGCGCGCGCCTGTCCGCGTGGGGTCCCTGGAGCGCCCCGGCCGGCCGTTGTTCCGCCAGCAGTCCGTCCCCGCGTCCCCCCCTCGCCGCCGGGAGCGCGACGTGGGCCAGTTCTCGGCGCAGGGCCCGCTAAACGCGCAGCTGGCGGCCAGCGTCCTCAACAAAATGCGCCAGCAGCCGGAGCCGCCGCTCGTGGAGGAGATATACGACTTCGGCGGAGATAACGTTAGGAGCTGCGTAGCCGTCGCGCAGCGGTCAGGGGGACGCCGGGGCCGTATGGTGACGTCACACCCGGCCCCCTACGGCCCCCCAGGCCCCGCGCCCGGGCCGCCGGGGCCCCCTACCGCCGCGGAGCAGGTGATCGCGAGCATGAATTGGCGAAAATCAAAATTTAGTTTATACATTTTTTGTTGCAAGTGGTTCCGTAGTTACTGTTTTGTTTATCGCATGTTGTCGGTGGTGTGGCCGCGTGTCGCCCGTCCCACGTGTGTTATATGATCGCGTCAGTGTCGGTCACCTCGTACTAAGTTATCCCTGACCGGAAGTTATTCTCCTAGAACCTCCCCTCCCCTCCTCATAACCCTGTTTTATTTTTATTTTTCCAGAACATTTGTGTCCAATGGGTCCTCCAGTAGACATGGTTTTCTTTTTATTTTATTTTACTTTATTTTTTTCCGAAATCACATCTGAAAAACGTTATTTTTATTACAGCACAGATACGCCATGTTAAAAAATATTTATATATTATGTCAAATATAGTCTCCGTAGGATGAATATTTGTCGGATAAAATTTAATTAAGAATCAACGCTTTATTTTGTAGATTATGATTTTGTAGATTTGACGCTTGTTTTATTAGTTACATGCATATTTTAAATTCTTTATTATCACTTTCAAATGTGATTTCTTTTACAAAAAGAACTAATATTGTAGCTGGTAACAATAACGGTGTATGGATTATTAATTGATTGCCATCTGCGACATCGGTTCTATGGAATATGGGATACTGACCTTTATTGATATGTTAATAGAGTCCAGAATTCGATACGGAGCAGGCGGTTGAGAGACGACTGTTGGCTGAACTCGCGAGACAACAACACCAGAGTGAAGAGGATAGAAGATGGCTACAGATGCAGGAAGATAACCTGGTTGGTATATGATGATAGTAGAACATATCTATACTAATATTATAAAGCTAAAGAGTTTGTTTGTTTGTTTGTTTTAAAGCGCTAATCTCCGAAACTACTGGTTCGAATTGAATAATTCTTTTTGTGTTGGATAGTCCACTTATCGAGGAAGGCTGTGGGCTATATAACATCACGCTACGACCAATAGGAGCAAAGATATAGTGGTAAATGTCTAAAAAACGGGAGAAATTATTTCATCTTTGAAGACTTCCTTTGCTTTCGCCGTGAAAACGGTTCAAGATACACAAAAAATATGTATTAAAGAATAATAGCTCTTTTAATGATCTAAAAAGCAGTCCGCGACAGTATTTATTTTTATTTATTTATTTATAAACACATACACCATCGACTTATCATAATAACTAACACAATATTATATGCACTAAATATAAATCAGTATGATTAGAATTTACAGGTGTATACAACATTGTTTTTTTATTTTTTTTATTTTTACTAAAATACAGACTAAACGGAATAAAACTAAGATAAACAAAGCAAAATATGAACTAGGTTAAAACAAAGTTAAAAACTAAGAAACAGTATATGTCTATCTTTTAAGATTGACTCACAAAAACCGTTTTTATGGTACCTAATTTGGTCGAAATAATTTGTTTAAGTTGTATCAACATAAAAATATTAATCTTTATTCAAATAAACAAATAAATATGTTGTTGGTTAAGAGTACTTCATTGTGAATTAAAAAAAACGTAGGTTTTATCCTGAAAATTCTACGGGAACTCGACCATTCCGAAAACCCCGCAAGAACGGGAACTATGTGGGAAGAACCAAAAATCTGCCGAAAGTCACTATTCCACGCGGACAAAGTCGCGGCAAAAGCTAGTATATATATATATATACATATAGTAGTAGTAGTAGTAGTAGTTATATAACATACAGAATGCTAGTATAACATTATGTATAACTATGGAAGGATTTTTTTATAGATTTATTTGCATTTTTTTTTCATGAAGATAATATATACATATATATACCTTCTATCTTCAAGAACAAAATGCAAATAAATATATATATGTGTGTGTTCCATAAATCTTTCTTTAATAGAAATTCTATAATAACATATTAATATTATAATCTGTTTGGTGTTTAACAGCATATGCTTTATATATTATTATAAAATTTGTAATTAAGAAAGAGTAATGTAACACATTGTGTGGGCTTGTGATTAAGCTATTACTTACATAATAGTACTAGTATATTACTGAAGAAAAACTTCAATAATATAATTATAACAATGTTTACAGAAGCGACTATCCAACGTACAAATGGCCCCGGAAACGGAAACTGAAAAACAGGAACAAGCAACGCCGGACGTCAAACCCGCTAATACTAGTCACACACCAACCGGTAAACATAATACTACTAATATTTCTAAAGACGTATAAATGTTTACAATTTTTACACTAAAGACGAAGACTAAAGACGAAGTCGCTCTCAAACTAGCATAAAACAGATATATCAACTATATACATTTATATTAATATACAATTAAGTATTATTATACATATTATTAAATATTGTTTATTTAATGTACATATTAATAAAACTGTTTATACTTTTTAGCGTCAAATTCATCGGAGACGAGTCCAGCGAACACAGTGAACACTAAAGATAGACCAGCCAGTGAAGATAAAGTATGTAAACAATATAGTTAACTATACATTATAATGATTTAAGATGAATCATGTGAGAAACTTTATGTACTATGAAATAATATTGAAGGATTACTATTTATAACTCATCCTCACTTCATTTGCACATTCCCAATATAATTAATCAACCTAAAATTAAATAATTATTATTTTCCTTATACTTATTTATATAGTAGTCTTCTTCTACCTGATAATTTCCCAGCATAAGCCCGGATCTGCCTTACATGTCGTGAATAGTTTCAGCTAATTGTTTTTACGACCGGTCGCCTGCCTGACACCAACCCTCTTTGGGAATATTTACTTATATAGTAGTATTAATGTATAACATGTCCAGGGTCGTGTGAAGGAGCCCGTATACAGCGCCACTACGGCCGTGGTGAGGTGTGTGATGTGCCTGGCGGGCGCTGCCACCAGCACGCCGCGGTCCGCGCCCACCGTGCTGGCCGCCGTGAGGGCGGTGGGTGAGGCTCTAAGGCATCTGTGCGCCACCGTCGATAGACTCGTCGCATTGTACCCGCCCGCCGCGCAGAGGTGGGTTGCGTATTTTAGAACTTAGATACATTAATTGAATGACTGATTGAATGAAAGATGACTGCGTGAATTGGAATACTTATGAATAATCTTATAAATAGTTGTCTGTGCGTGTGTTATTCAAATGTGTGAAGTTATGACATCTGTTTCCTAAGATGACTATAATTAATTAATTATATTATTGTTGTAATTACTAGGGAGGTTGAAATGGCACATCAAGTACTGAGTAAGGACATGGCGGCCCTCGTGGAGGCCATGAGACTCGCGATACACTACGCGCGGACTACGCTGCAGCAGGATTACACCAAGTTAGTATGATCAGGAATATATTATGAAGACAAAAGATAACTACTGAGATATAAGCAGTAATAATGCTAGAATTCTTATATAACAAGTCATAAATATACACATATTGTTATCAGGAGTATGCTCGCCGCTGCGCACGTGTTAGCGATGGACGCCAAAAACCTATTGGACGTAGTGGACTGTATCCGCGAGAGACATCCCCACGTGGACTGGCGCTCCGCCCTCCGCGACGTGTCACCGGAGCCCGGGCCTCCGCCCCTCGACAACCAAACACTGAGCTCACAAAACCAAGTGTTCGCGCCACAATGCCAGACCCTAACTCCACAAAACCCGGTCCTTAGCACACAATCTTCACTACAAGAACCCATCAAACCGGACTTCAAAGTCAACCAGCCGGTGACGCCCGTAACAACAGCGACGCACGTCGAACAACACAAGGAACACAACAGTCTGCCGGTCACCACCAACAGAGTGTCCACTCTCATACACAGCTTCAACATCGGCAGCGTTAAAGACCAGCATATATATGGGAACGAGACTCAGTTCCAACATTCGCAGTCATGTGACGATTCTAAGCTAGACCCTACTCCGTGCGAAGTCAGGAATAGACTCCAAGCGATGTCCAAGGACCCTCCCGCTATATACTCGGTGTCCAAAAAGATTCTGCCTCTAGAGCACAGCGACCAAGGCTGAGTGTAACATTAGTTCGCTTGTAGAGCAAGTTTCGTTGGACGTTCGTTCCCAGGCTATGATAGATTAGTACTTATCAGAGCATTTATTTTGTAACGGAGTATGCTTGTATTACTTTGTAGCTCCGGTGTAGCGTGAAAAGACAATCTTTGGATTGCTCAATTTTCTTAGCGGTTTTTTTATCCATAAGTTTTCGAGCCTTTACATGTTGGATTGTACGGTGTTTCTGTTCCGGCGTGTGCTGCCATGTTATGTGTAGCGTCATTTTATAGCGAAATTATAGTCATCACATAATCATAATCGACTACATCAAGTTATTTACATTATTATAATCATGACACTGGCGCATCACAATAATAAAATTTACATTAAAAAAAATTGACGGCCCTAATTTTAGTTTTTTTATAGATAAAATACTTTTTAGTAGGAAATGTAATAATATATTAGACCACTGAAACTGTGTTCAATGTAAAACAAAAAAAAATAACAAAAATATTTGTGATGCGGCCAGTTGTAAACATCGACATATAAATTATAACATATCGGCATTGTTTCGCTTCAAATAATATACGTGTTGCTTTATGTGAATCGTTACTCCACATATCTCTGTATTCATCGTGTGTTCTCATTTACATTAAACATCATCAAAATCGGACTAATAAAAAATTATATTATTTGTATACTGCCAATACACCAACTATCGCTAATTAAGATTTGTTTCGAACTAACGTAACGCATTCCACTGAATTGAATTGAACATGTGTGTGTGATTTTCAACAGAAAAATATATAATATATTTTGGCATATTATGTAAATGTTTGTATGTTAAATTAATTTGTAATATCAATGAGGTTCATATACATAAAAATATTTTCGTTTCGTATAAAATTGCTTGTGTGACATCAATGTTTTGTAACAAAATTGCTTCAGATGATAGATATATGTATATCCCAATAGAAACTGCCTCAGTTACATGTGTATGTATAACATTTATTTTAAAGTATTATTTGTATGTAACTCACTTCCTATACTTTAGTCAACTGTGTCACAAGTAAGCATTTAGTTCTACAGATTCATATACAGTATTTAAATGGTATATTTGTTTGTAAAAATGTATAAAACATAAAGGATTGTCCATAATTATTTTAATTTCTATCCAAAGTTTTATTATAAGAATAGATCTCATATAAGCGAGTAGATTTAATTTTGTTAGTTGTACAATTATAACAGAATTTATTTATTGAATTGGGTTGATGTTTTTTGTATTGTAAGCGTAGAGGATGTCATTCCAAAGTGTATGCGGCCACAGTCCAATAATAGTATAATGTTGTGACCGGGTTTTGTTTATGCATTACTGAATAAAGGACAGGTCTATAACTTTGTTTTATTTAATACATACATATTATATATAATTGAGTCAGTGGTGGCCTAGTGGTTAAAAGATCCGCCTCTCATGCTCGAGGGCGCGGTTTCCATCCTAGCCCTGGCAAGTAACAATGTGATTTTTCCGAGTCATATGTATTTTCTAAGAGTATTTAGACATCACTGATTAATGCATTCCCAAAGAGGGTTGATGTTAGGCAGGCGGCCGGTCGTAAAAACAATAAGCCAAAACTATTCACAACATGTAAGGCAGACCCTGGCTATAGCTGGGAAATTGCCAGGTAGAAGAAGATAATTGATATTAAATAAAAACTCGTAAATTATTTTATATAAACAATTTATTGTTATAGAAAAATTAAACAGTTTATCCCTTACATAAAATACAAAATGTTAAATCAAATGTTCCTAATATGGGTTACGCGAGTATATTTTAAATTAGCTATCAACAATACTTTCCCACGTATAAAATTTCTTATACTCCAATACTTCTACGTTATCATTTAAGGTTAAACAGTGACAAATTTTGATAACCCCCAATACATTTAAAGATAAATGTTATTGCGCCATCTAGCGAAAAAAATATGTATTACGGCGCAATAAGACTAATGTTATTAATGTATTTTCTAAATAACGACTAAAAAGGACTTTAACGTCGACTTTGAAGTCTGTGGCTAATTGCAAAGCGATATCGATTCTCACTAAGTTACACAGAAGTAACTCCCGAAAAAAAAAACTACAAATTACATTGTTAATTAAATATTCAATACAAACAATTAGAAATCGAATTCTAAGCATGACCTTATTAGATAAATGCTGATAATGTTTTAACAGTCCAGGAAGTTGGCGGCCATGAGCAGTTCGAGGGCTATTTCCGGTGCGATGGGGAATTCCGGTATTTCAGTAGAAGAATTTGTGTAGCGCACCTTGTATGTGAAATACATACACACCTTCTGTAGCACGTGTGACCTGGCGAGAGGGTAATATTGTATTGAAACAGACAAACATACATTTTATATAAAGGCACCTACAGAACCAATTATAAGGCGGCCTTATATGTGACATTAAAGTAAAAAAAAATCGTGAGAAGTGGCATACCTCTAAGTATACTATATTTATAACTTTTTATACCTTAATATTTAGTACACATAATTTTAATTGCTGTTACCAATCTTGATAACTGTAAGCATTTTTACATAATTATTTGTTTATTTTATTAGCACTTATGCTTTTTAAATTCATATTAAAATACAACAGAACTTTAAAACATTACTTTGTCATCAATAGACACCTTAATAAGCTAACTCAAACATAAGTCTAGCTAAAATTACAAAAAGGTATATTATATTATATATTATAACACTCGCTTTCCGTCCGCAGCTTCGCCCGCGTGTAGTTCGGTTATATCGCGTTTCCAAGAGAACCTTTCACAAGTCTGGGATAAAAACTATCCTATGTTCTTTCTCAAGGTCAACTCTATATCTGTACCAAATTTCATTAAAATCAGTTCACTGGTTTAGGCGTGAAAGCGTAACAGACAGACAGACGGAGTTTCATTCGCATTTATAATATTAGTGGGGATGTGATACTAACGGTATTTCTCTAAAGTTGACCTCATTGGCCTCGTTCTCAGCGAACTGCCCCGGACCACTCAGCATTGCCTTGATGGTTCCTGAGGTAAGCGCGTGTTCTCTCTTCACTATGAACTCGTGGCCGTCAGAAGAGACCAGTTTAACGTACATAGCGTCTGGACCCTCACACCCGCCGTACACCTTCTCCTCAGATACTGGATAAAAAGATAGATATACATTTCGATGTAGCAAACCATGTAATGAGTATAAACTTTGGCGAGTATTCATTTAAATGAAGCTATTGTTTTCGGATTACTATGTATGAACAACTCTCCTGCCCATGATTGATGAAAATTAACCGAAACGTCGGGAGTATGTAGTTTTTACAATAATAAAATAAACGTATGTAGTATAATCTGAAAAATGTTACATTTCATTTATGTCGTCTGCGGAATGAAAAAGGTAGAGCCTATACATATAGTAAGCTAGAGTTTATATATATAAATATGATAAATAGATATTTGACAGTCATTTTATTATAGAAAGTATAGTATTCTGATGCTTTTACATAGTGACATATTGAAATAATAAGAAAAAAATGCAATAGTTTTATTTTAATCTACAGGGTGACTGGTGAATTACTATCAATATTTAAGGAGCATACTCGGTACATGATTCTCATTCGAATTATGTAAAAAAAATAGGTACCTAAATTTTGACCAAATTTCCGTATAAATAAATGAAGTGTGTACACGTTCCAAGTCTTCCAAGTGTGGACGCGTGCGGCGGCGTGCTGATACAACAACACGCCGCCGCGCGCGAGTGTGTGTGTGTATACCTAATCTGTAGGGTGTTCATACGATGCGTAATTAATTACATAACTTTTGGTTAACTTTACTTAGAAGTTTATTAATATTTATGTTATATTAATTTTTATTTTGTCATATATGATCGTCAAATATCAAGTCCTCAAATATCGATAGTAATTCACCAGTCACCCTGTATAGTTGTGATAATAACATGAAAGGCATTGTTGCCAGATATAAAATTATCAAATATTTCAAACATAAATGAAGAAAATATAACAAGTAACAGTTAGCAATACATAAATAATAAAACACAAAAATATATCGATCTTATACTCTATATTATCTGGCTGATGTTATGCCAACTCATTACACATACACATGTAGATTTATTCCCAAAAGAGATGTGACTTATCTTAAATAAAAGTATCTGAAATACAGATACAAGATACAAAATACGTATTTACATCTTGTATTTGAAATACTATTTATATTTATTATTTTGTATCTTATATTTAGGTACATGTTCCTGACATCTTAGTATTTTCAAGATATTTTGTTCCCCAAGATATTTTTACTAAAATTTTCCGAACGTAACTAAACGCAGCGCGTCGTTTATACATTTTGTCGATATTGCCGGAAACTAAATGACAGATGGCGGCACTATCTTTCTAGAAATGTCACAAAATTCAAATAAAATTCACTTTTTAAGTGAATATGTCGACTGTTCGAAGCCAATAGCAGAAGCTATTAAGAGCCTGTAAGGGCAAGAAGACACTTTTTATGGCTGTCTGTTACCGGAATTATACAGAATCCAACATGTTATCAAAAGCCTCAGAATGGAAAATTTAAAATACTGCAGCCCTCTGCTAGATGTAATAGATGAAAACTTAGACAGACGGTTTAAACAATTGGAACCAGCAGCAAACGATGCTATACTAGCCTCAGTGTCTCATCCAATGTTTAAACTGAAATGGGTATCAAAAGCGCGAAAGCAACATGTAAAAGAACTTTTCCTGTATGAAACTAGAAAGATCAATCGATCTGAAAAAGAAAGATCAGAGGCTTTAAAGAACATTGAAGATGATATAAAAAAACTCAAAAGATGAATCCTATTATATGTTTCTAGAGAACTCTGATTCCTCTATTGCTATAGTGGCAAAAACACAAGCAGCACCAGATTTAGAGACACTCCTGTACCTGAACAATAAAATGCAAATATTAAGACCTTAAATGCTTATCCTACAAATAAAAAAAAATCCTAAAATATAACACATGTTTGCCCAGCTCTGCGCCTGTGGAGAGACTCTTTTCCTTTGGAGGCATGATCATGAGGCCTCACAGAAGGAAGATGAGCGACAATATGTTTGAGGAATTACTTCTCTTATAACTCAGATAAAATATAAAGATTAAAAAAATAAAGTTTCAATTTTAGTACACCTTCCTATATTATAAAAAAAAATGTTTTCTCATGATGGTTCAATAAAATGTTTCTTTTCTTACAAAAGTATTTTATCTTTAAAAAGTATTTGCAAGATAGGTATTTTGTATCTAGTATTTCAGATACCTTTTTAGAAAATAATTTGTATCTGGTATCTAAAATGCTTTTTTAAAAATTATCTTACATCTTGTATTTCAGATACTTTATATAGGGTATCTTATACATCACTGGTCATGTCAGGCAGGCGGCCAGTCGTAAAAACAAATAGACAAAACTCTTCATAACGTTCAACTAACATTCATTCTTCGTAGAAGAAGATGTAGTCTGAGGAGCTCTCTCTATCATTCAAAGCCTTATTCACTCTCCTTGTAGTTAAGTAATCCTAAGTTAATTTAAGTCCAAACTTTATCTCACCACTTCCCGAGCCGGCCGCAGTGCTCGGTGACCGTTGTTCTTCGGCCACATTGGTGCCCGATGAAGCTGCTGATGCAGGGACCGACCCGACATTCTGTTCAGACATCTGCAAAATAATAAAAACCTTGATGTAAAAATATATATTATATTTTTTGCTCTAATACAAATAACATTTTATATGAAAAATGTTGGAACTTAAAAATTATATTAAAATTTTTATTAATTAAGTAAAATTTTAAAATTTACATACTATTAAACAAAATAATAATAAAAATAAATTTACGTATAATTTGAAACATAGACAATAACTAGTTACTATTAAAGTTTAAAATTATTTGACATACAATTTGAAAAGCAAGTATAGTCATTATTTAATTATAATAAAGTGGCAGTGTTACAATTACAAAGTCACTGATAATAGCACTCTAAATAAGAAGATATTTTAGAAAAGTATTTAAGTATAATCAAGCAAAAGTAAGTACAGTAGAAACTGGATTGACCAAAATAATTGTTGTTGATAGGCATTCAGATTAAATGAAAATCAGGATAATCGAATGTTTGAAGAAAAGCCAGTTTTATGTTTATGTAGTACATAATATTATTTAAAAAAAGCAACAAAAACATATCAACTACGAAACATATTCAACGAAAATCAATGTTTGTTCATATGTAATTAAAGAATGCATTTTCTTAGTTTACATAAACATACAGATACATATATGTACTAAAAACTGCAGATTTAATCATGAAATAAATTACAATATGTATTTGGTAATATGTAATTGGTAATAATAATTTGCTTTAGAATATTTGGTAATAGTCATTTGGCATACGCCACTGTCCACAACACCACTCTCTTACGCTTTGACATTTTTTCTTGTCCAGACTTATCCGTAGTCCGGATAATCTCGAATTCGTAACTGAGGGCCAGATAATCAAGTTTCCACTGTACACAAATTGTTACTTAAAAATTGCCATGTATGGAAAATTTGACAATAATATATTAAAAACAATAATCTTGTATGATAAAACACTATTTCTGATTAATTTAATACTGATATTAAAAACAAAAATATTAAGATCATTATTAATAATATTATGAGTATGTATGAGTTTATATATATAAATAAATCTAGTTTCTACAACTATTTTCTTCCCATATACAAAAAAAATTAGGGATTTATTTTTCAATTATGACTGTTTCAGACAACCGGGTATGAAATATATATTTCACATACTAATATACTACACTATAATTACAATATACTTAATAACTGGAAAAAGTACAAGCAATGCAACTTGGGGTACTATAGTTATGAAAATTTCATGGGCTTGGATTGTTTATTACAATTTATAACATTAAATATTAACGAACAACAGTCTGCTGCACAGCATATTTATGAATTACGTCACTATAAAGTAATTTTTAACCATTTGGAAACACTAGATAATGCATTACTTTACTCCTCACTATTTTAATATCTAAAATGTAGTCTTGCAAAACGACTGAACTCAGTAAAGTATTAATCTGTTTTTATAAAACTTTAAAGCTGCCTGCACTCCTAAAGTAAAACAATAAATATATCCATTTGAATGACACCTTATTGTTTTAGCACACAACACAATTACATAGCCATTTTTGCAAAGTACTAATAAAATGTTTAACTATATTTTAAAGAAAATGTAATAAATATTTCGGTTAAGCTTTAAAAATTGCATAAAACTTTCGCACCTTTCGATTCTTAAGTAATTTAATGTACACAATATATCGGACGAAACCGCACGCAGGTTATTTTTATTTGACAGCTTTTCAATGTTCACTGTTCAGTGTTCACTGATATTGATTTCAGATGTTTTGGTAGATTGTATAATTTATCTATTAATTTATGTGCTTTTTTATTTTAATCTTTTTATATTATAATTGCTATTTAAATATTTTTTCCTTGTATGGGGCTCCGATAGGTATTTTTGATAGCCGTCTAAAATTTCGTAGAAGTATTTTAAAAATGGTATCACTGTTGAAATGGTTGACGACGATTAGGCGGATTTTTTGACATGGCTTTTTGGCTTCATTTCATTATTTTGACATTTTGCTGTCAACCGCTACGTATTTCTACGAAAAAAGTAGAATTTTCTTAGTTTTTCTTGTTATCGAAGTATTTTTCAATTGGATAAAGACGAACACAATAGAAAACACATATAGGAGGACTGGAAATCGAACCTAAATTCCAGGAATTCCACGAGAACCATGTGACACGAATACGAAAAAGGGCTTCCAGACCGTCAATGTGTCAGAAATGTTTTCTGCCATCACGACGAGCCAGCGCTACCACGAAGCCAATACTACAAGGGCGCGTGATAAACTAACGGGGATATAGGGCAAGCGCGTCAAAAATGTGCGCGAGATGGCCAGTCCGCCACCGAACCCTAGAGCAGGTGCGGAGAGCGGCTCCCAGTTCACGGAGGAAACGGGCGGCCCACGCGCGGCCGCCCCGCAGAAGAAGTTCATAGCACCGCCTGCCTCGCAGCTGCCAACCAAGTTGGAGTACGTCGCTCGCGGAGGGACGGGCCGCAGCGTCAAGCACACCTTCCGAACGGTCAAGTTCGCCCGCAGAGTGCCCACGCTGCCTCCCAAGAAGCCCGACGGCGGGGCGGGCGGCGCGGGCGAGGCGAGCGGCAGCGGCGCCCCGGCCGAGCGCCGCCCGCGTCGCGACCGCAGCAAACGGCACGTCTGCACCACCTGCGACAAACGCTTCTCCAGCCCCGGCAAGCTGAGTCAACACGTTCTCTCTCATACTGGTGAGCTCCCGTTTTCGTGTGATCTATGTGACAAGCGCTTCAATTCTAAATTCAAACTAGTGCGTCACAGCCTCATCCACAGCGAGTCCAGAGCCTTCGCGTGTACCGTCTGCGGTAAGACTTTTAATCGTAAAGATCATCTTACAAATCATATCAGGGTTCACAACCCAGTTAAAAATATCTATACATGTGAACTCCCCAACTGTAGAAAGTCATATACATCATTGCTAAGTTATCGTAGGCACGTTGCATTACATTCAGCGGAGGAAGGCAATTTACAGTGCAAGATATGTGATGAAGTGTTCAATTCGAGACAAGAGATTGTCAACCATCTTAAAGTTCATACAGGGAGCCGGGCGCCTAAGAGTGACACTGATAAGAAGTTTACCTGTGACCATTGTGACAGAAGGTTCTTTACAGCCAAAGATGTTAGACGGCATCTAGTGGTTCACACAGGAAGGAGGGATTTTTTATGCCCTCACTGCCCACAAAAGTTTGGTCGTAAAGATCACCTGGTCCGTCATGTTAAGAATGCACATCCCGAGGAGTCATGGAAATCAGCAGCCGTGGGGACATCCAAGGACCCACCGCCTGAAGCTACCTCATTCGAAGAAACTTATACAGAATATAACATTGAAGAAACAGATTTCAACCTTTGGAAGACCATAACTCCTAAAGAAGAAGTACCAGAGGGACGGACGGAGGTCCCGGCTTCAGATATAATAGTAGAAATACCAGATCTAGGGATCAAAGTGGAACCTTTAGATATAAAGTTAGAAAATCCTCAATCACCCAGTGAAATACTCGAATATCCAGTAGTTTATATGACCAACTTGCCATATATAACACAACCGATTCGAGATCCTATCGATGTGCATTTACTTAGTTCCGGCAACGTTCAATCAATATTGTTGGACCCCGGCGAGGGTCCTTCGGGATTATCGAGTCAGATGTTGGGGTTGTTGGAGGAGGGTGAGCCTTCTTACCCCGGCGACGAGGGACGGGTGCAGCAGAGGCTGCCGGCTTTCACACAGGCCTTCCAGACCGCGCAAAGCCCCAAGCCTCCCCCGCCGCCGCCCCCGCCGCACTAACAGCGCCCGATGCATTTAGCTTACGTCAATACTGAACTACCTCATTAGGTAATATGGAGTAAGCTGTATCATAGTCTGGTCTAGTGCCCTAGCGACCTTCACTAGACACTGACCTCTAACATTTGGATACTCTAGGCTCTCCAGATTGATATTGCCAAATTGCATGTCTCAGGTATACCAAAATGTTTCCGAATTCTACATGAATATGTTATCTAGTCATGTATGTACTTTCGGACTTTTTATTAAATTGTAATTTATATATTATATATGTGACCGTTATACAGTATAATTGGGACCAAGCTTTGAGAGCTGATAGTGACGGGATCAGTCCCATGGAGTAGATACGATTTCATATTTTTATACATCAATATTTAGTGAGCAAGTTTTTTATAAAGGTATATGGCTCTTGGGAGCGGTAGGCCGTATAATATGTTTTAGAGAGGCTTACTGTCTTCTACACGAAGGGAATACAACGAAGAGCGTATACTTTTTATTATATATATTTATATCTGATTTACTTCCGATGGGTTTATAGAAACGACTTAGGCCACTCTCATCAGACAGGATCTGGTAAACTGAGACCATTAATATCGGATACAAACATTATTTAACAGTTTTTTTTTACATACACACATTTACCTCAGAAGCACTAGTGCTTCCTTAGCGTTAAGACAATAAGAGTTGGATCTGCCGACCGAAACTCCAAATTATCATCAGTAACTGAATGTGCCAAAATTCCTACAGACAGGACGGTGAAGACGAATTATCTATAAAGCAATAATTCTTTTGCTCAATCGATCAAAAGAAATCAATTTTGATGTTGTTAATTTTAAACGTTAACAAACTAAACTGGTATTTACGGAAAAAGAGAAACTTGAAGAAATAGTCTCAGCATAATATTTTTTAGGAGTATGAGCCAAATTATGTAATTCGTTGTAAGTTTCACTTTGGGACTAGGTGAGTGTGTCGAGAAGTCTGTAAAAATGTTTAGGATTCAAACGTCTGGTGCGATCTTGTAAAGGATATGTTACACAGCTTTATTAGGGGCCTTACATTATTAAACATATACGATAATTTAACGATTCAAATTCCAAAATAAATTTTCACCCGTCATCTATCGATATTTGTCGAATTACTTTCACTGTCGATATAGATGTTTGTATTACAGAAACAGAATTTTTGAAATAACTTTTATATAAATAACGAACAATATCTGAGTAGTTTTTGTGTTCCAACTCGTTCATAGTTTTATCTCGGATCATTGCTCTTTAGAATGTACTCATTATTAAGATTTTAGAGTTGTCTTAGTAATTATTGTCAAATAATGGAAAATGTATTTTCGTTTATGTACTGTTGTTCGTTTTTTTTTGGTGATAATTTTTTTAATTAGGGTGGATGCAAACTTAACTCATTTTCAAAATCAAAATCAACGTTTTAAAAAGAAGAAAAAATACAATTAGATTTTTTTATAACATGTAGCTCTAAAAACATTTTTTTAATTCCTGAAGGGTTATTGTATGTTTAGTATATTTTTGCTATCAATATTTAGGTTGAAAGTACAACTGTTTCGTTTTAGCGCCCACTCTAATTTGTATAAACTTGGAAAATTTATTTGAAAAAAAAGGAGATAATTGATGTTTTATATATTTTAATTTGAATGTTTGGCGTCTAGTAGAAGCGGACTAGTTATTGTAGGAAGGATCCAATGTCATACACGCTTCATATTCTATAATATGTAAATAATTCTAATCTTTTAGGTTAATAGGACTGTAAAAAATTTAATCTACCTCAATTGCAACTTATTCTTACGTCTAGAAATTTAATTACTATACTAAGTTAGTGATGAAGGAAATTTTTAGTTTTTTTTTTCTATTTTGAGAAATTTATTCAATTTAACGTTCGTTCCGCTGTTGACACGTTATTTTAATGTTATGTGCTGCAATATATAAGCATCGTTGTTTATAAAAATATATAGATATAATAATATTTTTTTACTGACAACCACGAAACATCAATATCGGAAATTTAAAAACGAAATGCCGTTTTTATTTATATTAATTTGACGTATACAGTTTATATAATATATTTCAATTCAATGGATGACTAGGTCATGTACTTTTTGATATTTGACACTGCCAAAATATTAGAATTATGATCGACATTCAGATTAGTGCTTAAATTATAATTATTATAATCCGATTTTATTATTATTGTTGTAAATCGAATCGTAATATGTGAAATATTTTATATAATTTAAACCACTAACATTTTCTACCCACTAGTCATATAATGGCAGCACATTTCAAATGGACAATATTTACTGTTATTATTTTTACTGTGACAATAGCAAGCAGAGTACAAATCATTATCCTGATAGTATTCACGTACATGTATATATGCGATATATTATTGTATGTCTAGTTTTTATAATGTATTATAATTGTTAACATATCAAAGAAATGTAAAACAATTATTTTGCCTGCCGATATCTTGTTCTTATATATAATGTATGGCATTTATTTATTACATCAGTCTACAGACGATAAAATTTATGTAATGTTTTGTAACACAAAGTGTTGAATTTTTTCCCGTTTTTTTTTTTTATTTTTTTTAATGCATAATTACTATTGTTACTATTTTTAATGCCGAGTTATTTTTTTTTGGAACATCTAATGAGTGTGACTCGTTGTATTTATATATATTTTTAATTAAATATGTTGTGTAATACCAAATAATTACATAATTTTATTTTGTTTACACTTAAGGGTTCGAATATTTTTTTTTATTTATGTAACTTTAAGAGTTAAGTTCGGTTAAACGCAACGAAAGTTCTACGAGTGATAATCTTTATGTACGTGGCACAAAATGTCGGTTTTGAATGTTTTTTTTTTCAGTTTAACGTTATTGCTCGTAGTCAGACGTAGATCTACGTGATACATACCACATAGGGGCCTTAGAAAAAACTGTAGTTGGAATTATAACAAAATGAAAAAAAAAATTAGGTATCTACGATATTTTAATACAAAGAATCTATTTTGTTACGCTTTTCATTTAAGGCATTTTATATTAAAAATATATATATGTGTATATATATAACTTTTTATAAAAAATTAAAATTCTTATATCATGTTACACAGTTGGTCAGTTTGGACAACATATATATAAATATTTAGATTTTATAATTCCTTTATAAAAAATAAAATATATGTAAAATTTGGTAGTTGAAATTAGTACTAACAAGTAATGTTTTTGTTACATAAACCGATTCACCCTCGCAGGAACTCTTTTAATATAATTATATAATTGTACCTGTTTATAATAACTCGTTGTACTACGGTCTTCATTGTAATAAATATTTTGAACATCACATATGACTTTCAATCTATATTTTTATATTAATTTATCCTTATTCTTGTATAAAATCACCAAAATCACTTGTTAGTGAGTCATCATTATTTTAATATGGAATAAAATGATAAAAAACTCAACTTATATACCGTCAATTGTTGAAATATATTTTATTACTGATCAATCCATTAACAAACAACATATAGACTTAGAACCAGGAATAACAAAATAAATACCTAACCCACGGTACGATAGATAAACCAAGTAATGCGTTACACACTGTAAACATCGAATTTATATATAGCCATTTAAAAATTACATTACTTTACAAACGTTTACATATACATAGATTGTAAATATACACATGCTTCAATTTGTGTATTACATACATTGAACTAAAAATTGTACTAACACAACCGGCGACACGGTATATACATATATAGAAAAATATTTATATTTTAATGACAATTAAATGCATGTCGTCAGAGGAATGTGGTTAGCAGGAGTCACTTGACCGTCCTGCGTTTCGTCTTTCTAACTTTACATGTTTTTGGTGTATTCTTTAGTGATATGCTGTCTAAGTTCGGCAGGTCTTCATTGTGGTCTAACACTCCGTTCTCCATCTTTATAGTGTTGTAGCTGGTCGTTGGGCTCGTCTCCATGCAATCATCTGAGTCATATCCGGTCGGTCGCTTGTATTTCCTGTATATTTCCTCATCAGAATCCGCTTTGTAGCGTCTGCTGATGTTTTGTAGCGAGCGATTTTTTTGCAGCCATAGATTGACCTCGGATGATGATTTAGTGCAGTATTCTTCTCTGTCTGATTCGGAGTAGTTCCTTGTAGTTCGTGTAACTCTCTGCGGCGGCGCTGACAGCCGGATCTCGGGCCCGCCGCCGTATATATCGGTGAAAAACCTCCACAATTCTTCGCTGAGCTGCGCGTGATCTGAACCCGGCTTTAATACATATGACACTATACCCTCGATCTCCTGCGAAGATAGTTAATATACATTTAATATAACTAATATAATAAACACTAACTTGCTATTGAAGAAATTTATTATAACAAAAAAAATATTCTGGCATGAGTTACATATTAAGGAGTAATTATCAAAACATTCGCCTTAAGACTGTATTTAAATGAGTTAAGTATCTGACACCTATGATAATTGTAAAGCAAACAAAGTATTATCAATTAATATCATCCCAAATCCAAGTTTACTATGAAACTTACATAATGACACCAGAAACTTCATGAACACTCTATATAATGTAAGAATCAATCCACTTATTAACCAACCTGTTTAACAACAATAGAAGTGTTATCTACGGGCGGCGGCGGGTGTCGCGCCTTGTCCCTCACGAACGCCTGCCACTGTCTGAACCACGCCATACTGATCGCGAACACCGCTAGAGGGCGTTCCTGGTCCTACGATAATTATGAATTAGCTTCAATATCATATTTAGTCACAAGAAAACAAATTATAATCAATTTTGACCTTTGAACTTCGACCTCCTCTTCTATATGGGAGCTAATGGAAGGCAAAACAAATTTCTATATAAATCGCGCCAATGAGATGTAAAAATGTAAACAAACTTTTTTATAAATTTCTCTTAAATTACATGCTAATTTTATACATAAAAATATTTTGTTAATACAGTAGAAACTCGTTTATCCGGCCCTCAGTTATACGGATTCGCGATTATCCGGACTACGGACCAGTCCGAACAAGAAAAAATGTCAAAGCTTAAGAGTGGCGTACGTCAAATGACTACCAAATATTCTATATCAAATTATTTTTTAAATATACATATAATATTATGAGCTACATAAGCACAAAACCGGCTTTTCTTCATACATTCGATTATCCGAATGCCTATCGACAACAATTAGTCCGGTTAATAGAGTTTCTACTGTACATACAACGCTTTCCTCGACAAGTTATCAATATACCGTATAAAAGTTGGTATGTTTACAATCTTTATCACGTTTGGTTGGATGCGGTGTTTATAATACCTGGAACATGGCGTGTAGTTCAGCGAAGGCCGTTAGTTCCCTGGCTCTCCTCGCTCGCAATCTCTGTTGTGCTCGAGCACACACTCCACACTCGTGAGCGTGAGACACGGCCGGCCCACCGCCGAATCTGAGGCAATCACCTTATTAATTAATTTATTTTTAATTAATTTGATACTATACTGTTATAAATATTATAAAGATCTATTTGAATTTTACTATTTTGAGATGGTTTAACTTTACATGAAGATAGTACAAAATATCATAGAAATTTATTCACTATGATTTTTTAACTATAAATTAATAAAACACAATAATATTGTTAGCTTAAAATGTTTACATATTTATTTACAAATTAATCATAAATGAATCCTCACTGTTAAAATATTGTTTCCTTTACATAATTTTATATAACTTCCTATAAATTTAATTACTATTAAACCAACCAACCCTATCATTGAGTAGTTTTTCTTATACAATTATTAACTGCCGTAGTTAGTCTCACTCATTAAGTATTTTTTTCCTTTACATACTTGTATATAACTTCCTATAAATTATATACTATTAAACCTACCATACCAAGCTTATTGACAGTTTTCCTTATACAATTGTTCACTACCGTAGTTAGTAAGTTAGTGAGTGAGTCAGTTGTTCATACAGTGTGTTTGATCGTATCATATACTAACTGATGGTATAGAAAGTCCCACAGTGGTTGCGGCAGACGGGCAGCCAACGCTGGCAGGTGAGGCGCGCGCTCGGGACGTACTCCGCCGTGTACACAAACAAAGTCACTGTTGTCTATGGGACCAGGCTCCGCCCACGTATTGAATCTATGGTTTATGGAACATAGATTATAAATTTGTGTTTGTATAATAGGCATTTAATGAAATTTAATTGTCATTATATGTTTAAATTTTAAAGTACTACATAGCTTATGTTATTTATTTAGGTATTATCTGAACTGATATCAAATCATATAGCTGTTTGATTTTTGTAATACATATATTACTTTATCATTAATTAATCTAATCTTTGGATTTTATTAATATTACATATACTAACTTATTAATCCACTGCTTTGAGATGTAAAACTTAATGTCGTTGGGTTCCGAGTTAGCCGATTCTAATATTTCGGCCGCTTTTTGTCTTAGGGCTGCCATTTGTGGATTTACTTTTCTGTGAATAAATATAACATAATATTATTATAATGATTTAATTAACTAGGACTTTACATCACATTCAGTTATGTATTTGTATTTTAAATATGAGATAGTAAAATACTTAAAGCCAATAAAGTCTAAAAATATAATGATTTTAATATAAACAGAAGTTTTTATATGAGAGTATATATACAATATTTTAAGAATGTTTTATATTTGATAACAGAATTCACTAAGCTATAAGCTGAATGGTCTTAATATGAGCTTTTTTCCATACAAGCGTTAATATTTCTTAAAACTAATATTTTCAATGATGTAGACTTAAAATAAGATTTTGGTGGAATTCTCATTTTGTGCTCAAATAAGATTGGAGCTTGGATGGTAGAGGTGAGCGTTTAACGCGCGTTATATCGATACACTTTAAACCTACACCTGGGTTGCAAGTCCCAGTCACTGTTGAAGCTCCTCTCACTACAACGATGGACCCGACACACGCACGGTGAATACATTGAATGTTAAGACGTTTAATCTCTGTGTTATCTTACTAATATTATAATTGCGAAAGTTCGTGAGTGTGTGTATGTTTGTTACTTCTTCACGCTCAGACAACCGATTTTGACAAAATTTTGTACACAGGAAGCTGACGTCCAGGAATAACATATAGGCTACTTTACATCCCGGAAATCTGCGAGCGGAAGCTAGTATATATATATATATATATATATATATATATATGTACCTGTAGAACAGCACGTATGCCTCGCAAGAAGCCAGGTGGTGTGTAGTCAGCGGCGTGACGGCCGCGTCGTCGAATGAATACCACCTATCATCCACTCGGGCCGCGCACGTATAGTGACCGCCGCCCGCCGTGCCCGCGTGACATATGACCGCGCACAGGGAGTAGCGGGACACGGATGACGTGCACTCTGGGGAGAGACGGGGGGCGTTACTAGTGTAGAGTAGAGAGAGACAGAGATATGATGTTTAGTAGGATAGGGTATGTGGGGTGGAGTATAAGATGTAGGATTTAGTATAGAGTGCAGACAGAGAGAGATTACAAGAAGTGTAGTTCTCTCTCTCTCTCAGTTGGGAGAGGCGGTCTTTGATACTAGTAGAATAATAATCATAATATACTTACTGAATATAGAGAGATAACAATATAATACATTCTAGAATATACGTCCATTGCTCTTAGACATTTACCTTTATGACAATAAGGAGCCATATTTAAATCGTTTATCGGAAACGACACTCTGGCCGCCACTTTAGCGCTGAACATGAGTTCGTGGCGAAACCTCTTCAGATGAACACACAACACTTCCGGTAGTCTGATTACACCGGACATCTTCACACCGTTACGGAGCTTGTTGCATCGAGAACAACTGGAAATTAAATTGGAAATTTATATGATTTCCGGTATTAGTTTTATCAAATCAGCAGTTACTAACATCCTGTCTGGATTCTGTTATGTATAATTGTGATAAAATAAAATGTACGTGCATTTTTTAACAATACCAACAAATCTTCAAAACATTATATTAATGTCAAAAATAATTACTTAAAATTTACACATTCCATCAAATATGATGTAAGTAATTAAAATGAAACCAATATTTTCGTATTAATTACATACACGTCTTTTATTATTTTAAACTACAAACTCCAGACGTTTGTTTTACTTTGCAGCACATGAATAAACTAGAATATTAATCTCATATAAATGATTATCGCGAAAATCTTAGTTCTCATTATGATGAATCAACTCACCTATACATATTATCGCCTTTGAGTTCGTCTGCACTGAAGAAAGCTGCCAAACAGTCCTGCAAAGACACCGCCGGCCCGTACAACCACGAACGGAACCAGGAAAATAACCACCACAGCTGGAAAAATAATCATTATATATTAATACAAAGTAAATATTTAAAATCACTATGACAACATCATATAATAACATTTATAAATATAAGCAATAATATAAACGACCATTCATAAACATTTTAACATAAACATTCACAAGAATTTTAAGACTTTTGAATCCCTTGTCGTTGTCACAGGTTGTGACATTTTTAAAAATTTCGGCATATATTTAAAAATTACCCAGAGAAAACAACTACATATTCTCATTTTTAGTTACTTTGTCCAAACTTTACGTTTTGGTATTTTTAATTATAATGTCATGTCATAAAACTATTGATAACCCCCCCTTTTTCACACTTCTTCATACGTCTCCTCCCCATTAATATGTGCCGTACTCAATCGATGATCACTTATAGTGTTATATTTATCATCTGTGCCAATTTTATAATCTATATAATATATAATCTGTGTCTACCTGAATACTTTATAACTAACCCATGAATCCTGGTCTGTGTGCGGCGTGTGATGTAACATAGCAAGGTGTTCGCGGGACGGTATGGGCAATGAAAGATCCTGGAATGTCTCCACACGAGTTGAAACCTGGTTAATATAACAATAATAAATTAGAGTTCAATTAGTTAGTAATTGTGAAAAAAATACCTCAAAAGTCGTTAATATAGATAATATTTCAGCTCAAACTTTCTTCTGATAATCTGTTTCCAATGGTAATTTCGCGGATTTGCAGTATCCTCGACGATATATACCATACTCGTTTTGATTAATAAATCATAACTAAAACATGAACCAAATTTGATTGAAAAAGCGAAATTATTTTTATTTTATTGAAACTAATATTTTAGGATATACTACGCGACTTCATTTTGATAAAAACTACATACTCCCGACGTTTCGGTTGCTGTAAAGTAATCATGTGATCACGTGAGACACTCACATCTCGTCTGCCCGTATAACACACTCTATCACCCTATCTTGTTCTACCTGGCAATTTCCCAGATATAGCCAGGGTTTGTCTTACATGTTGTGAATAGTCTTCGCTATTTGGTTTTACGACCGGCCGCCTGCCTGACATCAACCCTCTTTTGGGAATTAGCATTAATCAGTGATGTCTAAATACTCTTAGAAAGTACATATGACTCGGAAAAATCACATTGGTACTTGCCAGGATCGAACCCGCGCCCTCGTGCATGAGAGGCGGGCCTGTTAACCACTAGGCCACCAATGACTTGACTGACTGACACTCTATCATCCTATCACAGTGTAAACACACTCTATCACCCTATCACAGTGTGTAACACACCCTATCACAGTGTATAACGCACCCTATCACAGATGAGACACTGTACAGATGACAGCAGCTTCCCGTCGAACACGTCCGAGATGATGCTGCGGTACCTGGCGCCGCCGCACCCGTCACCACCGCCGCCACTCCAAGACGGGGACCTGGGAAACAACACACATATATATATACTAGAAGACCCGGCGAACTTCGTTTCGCCCTATAATCAAGAAATATCTGTTACGTTTTTTTATTTATATTTTTGGAGTTTACCTATTAAAGCCATAAATCTCCGTGTTTTGAAGTGATTAGGAATGATTAATAGTTAATATGAGAGTTACACTGAGCTAGCAAAATAATAATTGTCAACGTTACTACTACACTTGATGCACAAACAATAACGATGGCCGACAACTGTGTAGGGAGTGAGAGAAGTCTAATTGTGTGAGAGAAACAGAAGACCGGCTTCGTTCTCATCCCTACTCCGTGCTGTTTACTGGGTCAGAAGTGACACCTGTAGATATCTGGCGGGGATAACTTATTAACCCTTAAATTCGCCTTGTTGCATATCTGCAACGAACCGAAAATTAAAATAATTTGACAAGTTAATGTACACGTTTCTGAACGTAATCTGCCATAGATTATAGAAAAAGTTATGAACGTTTTGACATTTAACGTGACGGTTCATTTTCAAAAATTTAAACTTCATAATTTTTTAATTTAAAAATCGCGGGCGCGCGAATTTGTAAAAAGTAATTTGTGTGTAGTGTTATGTCGTTTTTTATGCGAATTTCGAAGGTAAGTGTCTTTTGTTTTTTTATATTTCACTAATTTAACTAATCAAGAAGACCAGAAAATAATAATTTTCCATATATTCAAAAGTTTGATAAGTTTTTTTTCAAACAAACTGTTTGTGTCGTATGTGCAACATTGCGCATTTACGTTCAAACAAATTTGAATTTTTACTTGATCAGTAGTGATGTATTTAGAAAAATTTACCTAATTTTGTTTGCCTTTTTACAGCATGCCGAGATTGCTGAATAACTGAGACATCGAAGAATATCTGCAAACTCTGGATCTGTCCGAGGATGACTTGGAATTATCAGAAGAAGAAGAGCAAGATGAAGAAGTTTACTATGAGAATAATCGCCAGTTATTAGCGGATTTAGAATATTGTGATGAATATTTGAGACCAACTGGTAATACCGTTGTGCGTCTAATTCGGATTGTTCCAAGACGTGTCAACGACATTATTTATTTCGACAACTATTACACATCGGTGCCATTGCTCACTTACTTTGCAAAAGAAGGAATATATTGCTTAGGAAGTGTACAGGTGAATCGCATACCTAATAACAAGCTTCCGGATAAGAAAACTCTGATGAAACGAACAGTACCAAGAGGATACTATGAGGAACAGGTTGCCAATGTAGATGGTATCGACATTAGCGCTGTTTTATGGAAAGACAACAAGCCTGTGACTTTGATGTCAACCTACACTGGAGCCTTGCCTGTGACTACAATTATGAGGTATGATAAAACGACGAAACAGCGGATTCCAATATATTGCCCCAATGTGAGAAAGGACTACAATACCCACATGGGAGAAGTGGATCTCCTTGATAGTTTTATCGGAAGGTACCATGTTACTCGCAAAGCAGAACGTGGACAAATCGCTTGTTTTTCCATCTTCCGGACGTTACAGTCGTAAATTCGTGGCTATTGTACAAGAAATCTCTGAAACTGAACAAATCTTCCATAAAACCATTGAATCTGTGCAATTACAGATTTGAGCTGGCCCATACCTTATGCAATCTTGGCCAAAAAGGAAATGGTACCAAAAGGGGTCGCCCAAGCAGTTCATCTTTAGAAGCTGAATTTCAACTAAAAAAGAAGTGTGGACCAGCTCAAACTATGCCTCCGAAAGATATCCGACAAGACACAATATGTCACTGACAAAAATTGGGGGATCGGGCCAGATGTACATACCCCAATTGTAAGGGATATACATTCAGTTATTGTGAAAAATGTAAAGTAAGCTTATGTTACAACAGACAATAATTGTTTTTATAAATTTCACCGTGATTAAAAAAGAACTTTGAATTTGTATCTATTTTGAGTTTGTTATTGATGACCTCATTCTTTCCATACATAGCATAATTCGATGACTGCGCACTGTTGCACATATGCAACATACACTTTTTTGTATTTTTAGTAGCTTTATATCAATACTATATATTTTTAACCATTTTTCCTTTGCTCTATAGATCCTAATATGATTAGAATAATATATTTATAAACGATTACAAAATTCGCGCATTTAAGGGTTAAATGACGATTGATCAGTTATCGACCGGAGATGAAAAATGATTAAATTACTAAAATAGCTATTAAAAAATAAGGGTTGATCGTAGAAGGGTGAAAATTTAGGATTGTATGTATTTTTGTACGTTGTATCATAAAAAAATAGTAATTAAAAATTTTGTCTAAAAAATTAAAAAAAAAAATTTAGGGGTGGACTACCCCTAACATTTAGGGGGATGAAAAATAGATGTTGGTCGATTCTCATAGCTACCGAATAAGCACAAAAAATTTCATCAAAATCGGTCAGGTTGTTTCGGAGGAGTATGGGCACGAAAACTGTGACACGAGAATTTTATATATTAGATGTATGGAGAGAGAGAGTGTATTTAGTAGAGCTGTAAGATAAGTTTTACTATTAGTTTCATTCAATATATTATATAACTAACTTGTGTTAGTTGTATTATTAGTGTTGTAGTATGGTGTGTCAGTGACTATAATAGGAACAGACTCCAAAAATTAAACTGCAATAAGTACGTCACATACAAGGTTCGAAAACCGCATCATACTGCGGCGCAAATAGTGCAAATAACAGAAAAAAATGTAACTATTGACTTATTATAATTTCTTAATCATAACTATATATTGCACTGTATTTTCTATATAATCGAAAAGATTTAAAATCCATCTAGAAATTTCTATTCTGCTCAAAAACCCTTCTATAATGTTCTATTCTATTCTAAAATCCTTCTAGAATGTTCTATATCATTCTCACGTGTTCTCATGAGCGTCGGGTGCTTCACTGGCGCCGCTGGAGCAAGTCTCGTACCTCTCCTCCGCCTCGCTTGACAATTCAGACTCACTACCCACGTCCCTTGAATCCGTTGGACCTAAAATATTCATATACAAGTTATTTTCTATGACTTCGTCTGATAGAGAAGTAAATTACTTGTTATTATAGTATATTAATGTTAACCAATCAGCGCCATCTATCGTCTGTGTCACGTGACCTCATATTATATAATTATTATGCGTTATAGTGAAAATGACATGAAATAAAGGAAATGTAGTAGTCTTTAAAATATTCTGTTGCTAAATTATATTATAGGAAAATTTAATCAGAATACGTTCAGCATATTACGAGTAGAAGCAACAAACATCCATACATGTGAACAAACTATTATTAACAATATTATTGAGATTATTCAATGAAAAAATACACAAGAGCTTTCATACGTAAGTAACCCTTTCATACGTAAGTAATTTTCCTTAAACCTTGGTATTACATAAGTTTCCTTAGGTTTAATTTTATAAAATTTAAACAATTTAAAAGGTTTCTCATACAGTATACTAGTTTTATTGTTCATCAATTACTGATTTATCTATAGCTTATGAGTTTACGACATTACTTCTATTAATAATCATTATATCTGTCAAATTACTTAAAACAGTGTACTTTGTAGAATGACATTGTAAGATCTGGTTTATTTTACATTGACTTTATTTGTTTAACATAAGAAATGTTGATTATTACAAAACATATTCATATTTTAAATAATAAAATAAATATTCTCATTATTGTGGTACCATTAGTGTCAGCGACGCAACTGATGTTTAGTTAATAATAGATTTAAGAGATAAGAAATGTAAGAAATAAGGAATTAGGCTAATATTTGTATTGTATAATTAATAAAAGGAAAGCGACTCTTGCAGGTTCGCAACACGTGTAAAAATCCCTAATGAGCGTCTCTTGCAAGAGCGCAGTATACTATTGTCAAACTTAAGATAAACCTATTGACCAATAAACGAACGGCGGTAGGGTCACTTGGCGGGGGGCGGGGCATCCGCGCTGGCTCACAGCGGTACTAGGTGCGCGCGCGCAACGTATATAAAATACGGCCGCTGTGAGTCGAATAGTCAGTCAGTCGTCATCACCAGTCGTCAGTAGTCAGTCAGTCGTCATCACCAGTCGTCAGTAGTCAGTCAGTCGTCATCAGTTAGTAGTAGTCATCAAGTCGTCATCACCAGTTGTCATCATCAGTAGTCACCAGCCAGATCTCGTGAAGACATCTCATACGCTTTGAAGAACAGTGAACAGGGAAGAACCCGAACACATAAGAACCGCGCTTTCAAGATAGTGACTAGGGACCACGTGGTCATACAAACCAAGTGATTCTGCCACCATTACCTAACAAGTTGTGGTTTCATTCTAAAACGACGTTACGACCTGCCACGAACACGGATCCCGAGGATCGGATCACCGGCCGCCTGCTATTGGAGGAATTATCATCCGATCCGATCCACCCCTCAAGCGGCGAACGATTCCGAACTCGATATTCGGACATCCCAACCGCAACAATTAGGAAAAGTCGTTGTTTAAATCAATTACTTCATATATGTATGAAAAAGGAAATTATTAAATATAAATTTATTGCCTTATAAATATTTGAGTTCATTATATCATTATAAGTACACAGTGGGGTCAGAATGTGTGTGTGTATGTCTGTGTGTTTATTAATATATCTTCACCGTTAGTTTGATGTATATTATAAGCTAGATGTGTTCCAGCGAAGCTCGCTGACCGTCGATGTTTTGAAACGTGCTCAGATTGAGGCTGTACCCTGGAATTATACAAATATACATATCAAATAGGGAATTATGTATATAATAGGATGTTCAAATACACAGTCTAATTTAATAAAGTCAGAAAAATAACTTATGTTAATGTTCTAAAAGCTGGGAAATTACCAGGAAGAAGAAGTTCTAAAATCAATGCACAATTTGAGTCAAAAATTAAAAACAATCTGCCAAACCTTAAGTTTTTTTGTTTTACTAAAAACGCCATAAGACCTATGTTTATTTCTTCTTCTTCTACCTGGCAATTTTCCAGCTATAGCCAGGGTCTGCCTTATATGTTCTGAATAGTTTTTAGCTAATTGTTTTTAAAACCGGCCGCCTGTCTGACATCAACTTTCTTTTGGGTATAAGACATAGGTTTATTTATAGGACAAAAAGCTTCTGTATCAATGTTATCAAATTTTTCATTGCCCTTGTCCAAATTTGGTTGAATTTCATTAACAGAATTAAATTACCTCTTATGTTGCCCGGATAGTTAAGATCTTGTGTACAAAGACCTTTGTCTTTATTTTAACGTCATAAAAATATAATGGCGTTAAATCAAAAGATTAAGTAGGTTAATTTTAATTTAAGTTTCCAAAATAAGAGTGCATGAACAGTAACATTTTTTATGAAATTTGGTATTTAATTGTATTTAAAATTTTCTGTAATGATGTAATTCAATTTATAATCTTAACTTATCAGGTGTCAAATAAGTTCTTTTTTTGGTATTGGCAGCACTGTAACTCAGTAATGGCGGCAAATTCAAAAGTAATTAATTTTGGGACAACCTATATATATCTATAAATTTTATAAATAATATCTGTATAGGTTTAACCTTATTTAATAAAATTCGTTATATTTTTTTTTATATATTTAAAGTAACATTAAATATAGTACCTTAAGTAACTGTCATTCCTCTCAGTGTATCCCGACGCTGCCGGTGAGTGTCTTAACCGTGAGAAATAGGCAGCATCGTTCGCTGTAGACAATTAATATACTTATGTTATAATAAACACAATATTATATATACAGGGTGACTGGTGAATTACTATCAATATTTAAGGAGCATACTCGGTACATGATTCTCATTCGAATTATGTAAAAAAAATAGGTACTTAATTTTTGACCAAATTTCCGTATAAATAAATAAAGTTTGGACACGTACTCAGCCTTGCCGGCGCCAGTGTGTCGCTACTCCCCAACCCCCGCCCCGTGGCTAGCGGGCCATTAGTCGGCTATTAGTCGGGCGAGCGCCGCCGTAAGGTCCGTACGTTCGTCTTCCCGCGCGCGCGCCTAGCGATCGATCTTACGCGTATACCTAATAATAATCTGTCGTGTGTGCGTGTGACCCGTTATTACTTATTAGTAATTAAATATGGCTTTTCAATACACAAATGCAGAATACTTGGACATGGTTCATGCGTATGCGCGTGCAAATGAAAGCTTGCTGGGCGCAATCAATTTGTACCGGGAGATGTTCCCCAATCGTCGAGTACCTACGGCCAGCGTCATCTTAAACGCTAATCAAAGATTACGAGACTTCGGACAGTTCCGTGTTCCAACACATACCCAAGGAAACGTCTTGTGTATGCTACAGAGTATGTAAACAGAGAGGAGTTGAAATTAAAAATCAATAGTGATTTCAAAACTATTAAAAGTGACCCATTCGTATTAAATCGTGTGAAAGACAATATGTGTAAACGTGCCGAACTGTGTATCACACGAGAAGGAGCTCGCTTTGAACATTTGTTAAGGTTAGTGTAGTTATGTAGGTAAATAGGTAGTTTAATGATTGACAATTGTTGTAAATAAGTATGATTCCATTTTTAAATACGCCGGAAATACCAAGATAGGTAAACAGTTCATATTATTTTTTGTGTCAAGGTCACACCATTTACCTAGTCAATAAATTGGTTGCTTAAACGAAAGAAATATCTTGGTATTTTTGCCTGTCCTAAGCCAGGATTTAAGTATGAAGGGAAATGGATCATTTTTGTTTATCTAAGGTCTAACACGAGGCGGCGCGCAGCGTTTGGATGTAGGTAAACTACCGCGCGATAACTACATATACCTACGTACATAACTGTTTTGTGTCGATAACGCAGCTAGGGTATCCACGCGATCCGTAATTAATTACACAACTTAAGGTTAACTTTACTCAGAAGTTTATTAATATTTATGTTATATTAATTTTTATTTTGCCATATATGATCGTCAACTACCACGTCCTTAAATATTGATAGTAATTCACCAGTCACCCTGTATACTTGTCTTTTTTTATGGACAATGCTTGACTGTCGCTCCATCAAATAGTAAGTGGTGATATGTATGCTACTGCATTTTCTCAAAAACCTATCCACTCTAGACTTGAATACTAATCAAGACCAAATTATAATTAGAATGGAATATACAAGAAAAATATTCAAATCTCTAGCTGTTCGCATTAAGGAGACTACAATGAAAGGTGAATACCAATTGTATGTTCGCTTGTGGATAGATAGATCATGCATAAACTACAAAACTAAATTTGGTCAATATTTTGTATGTATGTAGCATGAATACCACATATTATCTAAGACCAGTTTAAACATGTTAGTAGTATCAAGCACTATCAAGTAGTTATAGTGCGTTTGATTTAAGATGAGCTTTGCATTCGTGTGAGTGTACACGGATAGTGTAGGTGTGATGTCAAATTTTTAAATGCCACATTCTTTTCTAGTTTTTAACCGGTTTATTCTGCTTTTACTACGCCCCGCACCTTCCGCACTTCACCCTTTGTACTGGTAGCAACTTCAAATTTTGAAAACGCAATGTCAAGTGAAGAAGAATTTGTATTGTTTTTTAAATTTTTTTATTACTTAATAAATTTTTTTTTCATAATATTTCCATGTAGCCTTTTACATGTTTTGCTTATTTTATTTTTAATCAAGAATAACTCATTCACTTATGTTATGTATCTATTTAAATATAATAAAATTGAATTGTAAAAGTTTTTTGTCTAACTCTACTTTTACTTTCACTCACACAAATGCAAAGCTCAGCTTAAGTCTAACCGACTATAGTAGTAGTTAGTAATTAGTAGTATATGTAAGTAGTACCTCCCGATGAAGCTGCCCGTCTCCTTGTATGAATGTTCCTTGTCTCTTGATCACCTTCAACCTCTGACACCAATTTATCATCTGACACACTGTCCCACACCTGTATATATTATTATATTTAATTTTATTGCATCACATAGTCTTTAATTTGTTCAACATGTATGTATAATATATTGTTCTTTCAGTCATAATATATGTATGTGGTAACAATTTATGTAGAAAGCAATTTTATTATATTTTCTTGAGATTTTTATATCCCACCCCAAAATTATTAATGTAAAAAAGCAGAACCAAGTTGACTACAAAATTTTTGGGCTGTGGGCTTCGTTGCAAAAAGAAAGGAGATCTAAATAAGTGCCAATTAAATCTAAGCAAAATAATGTTACTATACTGTGTTTATTTGTTTTATGGGATGAATAAATAAAGGCTGTAATTTAAAAATTTTCGGTCAAATTTCACTTGGCTAGCTTTAATTACATCCGTCATCTAAAGTTATTTAACATTGCAATTCCGAAAAACACTTTTTTTAGCATAAAATCATTCCATGGGCCTTACTGAACATGCAAAAAAAATAATTGCCAAATTGCTTTAGTCATTGCCTAGATAGACTTAGAAGTATTCATTTATATATATATATATATATATATATATATATATATATATATATATATATATATATACAGGGTGACTGGTGAATTACTATAAATATTTAAGGAGCATACTCGGTACATGATTCTCATTCGAATTATGTAAAAAAATATAGGTACTTAATTTTTGACCAAATTTCCGTATAAATAAATAAAGAGTGGGCACGTTCCAAGTGTTCCAAGTGTGGACGCGTGCGGCGGTGTGCTGATACAACACTACGCCGCCACACGCGTATGCGTGTGTGTGTGTGTATACCTAATCTGTAGGGTGTTCACACGATGCGTAATTAATTACATAACTTTTGGTTAACTTTACTTAGAAGTTTATTAATATTTATGTTATATTAATTTTTATCTTGTCATATATGATCGTCAAATATCACGTCCTCAAATATTGATAGTAAATACGTGTTGTATGTATATCTGTTACAAGTACCGGTTCTTTAAGTTCCTCGTGTAGCTGGTCCATGAAACACCGCAGGAATTCCTGTGTATCATGTTGCTGGTATCCACGGAACATCGGATGTACCTGATCATCACAAAAACACCAATATCATATAAATAGAATGCGAAATTGTTGAAGAGAGAACTATTTTGTTATACTTCTGAATAGTATTAAAATTTTCATATAATAGGTGCGCAACTAAGTCATTGCCGTTTTTGTTGATAGATTCACTCTACACTTTTTTTTGTTTTGTTAACGTAGCCAGAGCATCTAACCTATATTTTTTTCTTACTGTATGGGCTTCTATGTTTAATTAGTCAAAATTTTTTTTTGATAAGTTCTTTAGTTTTGTTTTTATCCCAATTTAAAAATGAAAGAACAGGACGTGCACTTACGACACATTTTATTGTATTACTTCCGAAAAGTCAAGAACGCATAACAAGCATAAAAGAAGTTATGTGCCGTATATGGAGATAAAGCCTCAAAAGAAAGGCAGTGTCGAAATTGCTTTGAAAGATGTCGTTCCGGTGATTTTTCACCGAAAAATTCACAACGATCTGGCCACCCAGTCGAAGTGGATGACACCCATATCAAGGCCATTATCGATTCAAATCGTCACAGCACAACACGAGATATTGCAGAGAAGCTCAATGTGTCGCATACATACATTGTAAAAAATTAAAAACCCTTGGTAATGTCAAGAAACTTGATTTATGGATCCCTCACCCGTTAAAGGAAATTCATTTGACGCAACGGATTAGCATCTGTAATTCGCTACTGAAACGCAATGAGAATGATCCATTTCTGAAGAACCTAGTCACTGGCGATTAAAAGTGTATAGTTTATAACAATGTTACTCGCAAGAGATCATGGGTGAAGCAATATCAACCAGCCCAAACAGTATCAAAAGCAGAGATTCACCAAGAAAAGATTATGTTGTCGGTCTGGTGGCATCACAAAGGAATTTTGTATTTTGAACTCATGCCACAGAACCAAACGATAAATTCAAATGTGTATGTTGAACAACTCGAAAAACTGAAGGATGCAATTGAAGAAAAGCGGCCGGCATTATCAAATCGGAAGGGTGTTGTTTTCCATCATGTTAACGCAAGGCCCCACACATCTTTGGTTACTCGGCAAAAATTATTGGAACTGGGTTGGGATTTTTTGTCACACCCACCATATAGCCCTGACCTTGCGCCTTTGGATTACCATTTGTTTCGTTTCATGCAAAACTCTTTAAATGGTAAAATTTTTAACAACGCGGATGATGTCGGATCACACCTAATTCAGTTTTTTAATAGCAAAAACCAGACATTTTACGAACGGGGAATTTTTACTCTGCCAGAACGATGGAAAAAGGTCATCGACAAGAATGGCCAATATCTAATTGAATAAAGTTATATTTTTAAACAAAAATTCCGAATTTGCCTTCTTATTTGAAATCGGCAATGACTTAGTTGCCAACCCAATAGAAGATTAAGAGCATAAACCACACAGTCATACTGTAAATAGTAGATGGGTTGCATAAACTGATTTTTCTCAAATTTTCCCTTAGTTTCTTTTGAGGTTTTTCTTAACCGATCTGACTTAATTATTCTAAATTTGCCTAACGGAGATTTTATCTAGGAGTATGCTAGACACAATATATCGTAACTTTTCACAAGAATCTGATTATCATTTACATTATTACAATTGACACTACTGAATATTGTAAAATATTGTAATGAAAGCAAAAGAAATACGCTTCTTTTTAATTTTAATATGAAGTTAAATGTGCAGTTTTACATATCAAATCGTGAACAAACAATAAAATCATTTTAAAACTATTATATCTACACATATAACATACACTATAATCTAAAAGAAATTTTAGCCCAATTTTAGACTAAACCATGGATATTTGATTATATCAATGCTCATAGCACAAATTAACATTTTAATAGAAAATAAAAAACGAAATATGTATTTATTAATACAAGCAGGACCTGAACCTACTGACTGTCACAATACATTTCGTTTTTGTATTTATTGGTCATTTCATTTAAATAATACTGATATATCAATAAGAACATAATTAAAGATATGATCATTTAACTTACTGGAAGAAAATAAATTAAAATATATGTATTTTATTCCTATCCTGATCATACTAAATATATATTTAAGACATAGATAAATCTTGGAAGACTTCTGATCCAATAACTCTGGTTTATGCCACATACGAGTATAATATACAAATATAATTCAGAATATAAAACATAGTCACTAATAATAATAATAAAATTATCATAATTCTTGTAAAAATCCTTTTAACTATCGTTATATATGTAATACATATATTATTCATCAATATATACTCACATTCCTTATTCCATACAGTATACCATTAGGTACAACATAGCCTCTAGTTTTCCTACTCCACATTTCTCTAATTAATTTTTGGTATGCTCTGAAAAGGAGAACTGTATTAAAAACATTTTTATATAAATTTCTGTTATAAAAACAATTACTTATTTACATATATGTTTGCATTCAATGTAATTAAGACTTTAATCATAAGAGAAAAAGGTTGAATATTACTTTTGGCTATACAAAATAAGAACACTGTCCTATTTGTAATCACATAACATGAATTTATGGATGTTTTGTTGCTTCTTCTAAAATTACTGAACGGATTTTCGTGAAAATATTTAGTTTTATGTACATACACATGTACAAACATAATAAGAGATCAAAATCAACTATAACACAATGTTTATAAAGTCTACAATCCACTGTAGTACAATACAAATAAGGTATATAGTCTCACCAACTACGACCTAATTTCTTGTCATCCGCCAGAAAGTCTACAATCTAAAGTCAACTATAAATCTATACAAATAAGGTCATACCGACTACGCCTTAGCTTCTTGTCACATGAGTAAAGTCTACAGTTTAAAGTGAACTATAATATAATAATGTAAATAAGGTCTATAATCATACTAAGCCCTGGTTTCTGGTCCTCCAACAGCAAGTCTACAGACTAAAGTCTACTATAATGTAATACTAATAAGGGTTATAGTCACACCAACTACACCTTAGTTTCTTGTCATCCTAATAAAGTCTACAGTCTGAAGTCAACTATAAATCTATACTAACAAGGTCTATAATCACACCGACTACGCCCTAGTTTCTTGTCACATGAGTAATGTTTACAGTCTAAAATCAACTAGGTATAATATAAATAAGGTTTACATTTGTACCGACTAAGCCCTGGTTTCTTGTCGCCCATCAACACGTCTACAGTCTAAAGTAAACTATAACGCAATACAAATAAGGTCTATATTCGTACCGACTAAGCCCTGGTTTCTTGTCGCCCACCAGCAAGGCCACAGCTGCGGAACACTCCAGGAAGTATGACGTCAGCGGCTGCGTGTTGCTGAGAGCCTGCAGCGCCGCGTTCATGTAGCAGGTGTTGCCCATGTTCTGCAGACCAACTAGACCTGCAACGACTTTATGTCAAAGGAATAAGGTTGATTTTGTTAGTAGCAGATTTTACAAACTAATTTACTGTCATCTTCATTGAAAAGTCAACCAAACAGTTAATATGTTAGTTGTTCTAGTTACACAAGTAAAAGCAAAAGTATATACAGGGTGACTGGTGAATTACTATCGATATTTGAGGACGTGATATTTGACGATCATATATGACGAAATAAAAATTAATATAACATAAATATTAATAAACTTCTAAGTAAAGTTAACCAAAAGTTGTGTCATTAATTACGCATCGTATGAACACCCTACAGATTACTCTACACTACACACTCACACATACGCGCGCGGCGGCGTGTTGTTGTATCAGCACGCCGCCGCACGCGTCCACACTAGGAACAATTGGAACGTGTACACACTTTATTTATTTAAACGGAAATTTGGTCAAAAATTAAGTACCTATTTTTTTTACATAATTCGAATGAGAATCATGTACCGAGTATGCTCCTTAAATATTGATAGTAATTCACCAGTCACCCTGTATATATTTAGGGAACACACGCGGGAAAGTATTTGTCGACACGAATTTTGGACGTCTTTATAAAGTAAATTAAAGTCATTTAAAGTTGTTTTGGTTTAAGATAATAACCGATTAAAACTCTTTAATATTTATTTCAGTTAAGTTTTGATTTGACAATATATTTTTTAATGATTTTGTTAGATCTGGATTCTGTTAATATTGAGACCCGGCGAACTTCGTATCGCCCTATAATCAAGAAATATCTGTTACGTTTTTTTATTTATATTTTTGGAGTTTACCTATTAAAGCCATAAATCTCCGTGTTTTGAAGTGCAACAGAATGATTGACATATTAGTTAGTTGTCAAATATAATGTCAAAAAAAAACGTTTGTATCAACAACTACTAAAAAAAATAAAAATTAATTAAAAAAACATTGTCTAGTGGACAAAATTGTGAATCTAAACCATTCCCAGATCCCCTTGAACACACACAAAAAATTTCATCAGAATCGGTCCTGTCGTTTGAAATAAGTTCAGTGACATACACACTCACAGAATAATTATATATATATAAATATAATATATATATATACTGAAAGGTCTATAGTATGTTATTATGGGTCACAACCCACCTCGGGGTCTCTGTTCCTCGTACTCCATGTCATCAGGGTCGAGGTCCTCGTCCGAGTTGACGCTGATCCCCACAGACCCTGAACGTGACACCAGCATCTCCTCTACAGTCGTGGAGTCTGGCTTCATCTGATTAACAAAAAAAATTCTATGATATAATACTATTTCATAAAAAAATATATAGAAAAAAATATTTGTACCATTTATAGTGGGAATTACTTAAACTAATATATATACTAGCACTGTTTTGTTTTTATTGGAAGAATGTAAACATCGCATTTATAAATCAGTAGTGGTCTAGTGGTTAAAGGGCCGCATCTCATGCATGAGTGCACGGGTTCGATCCTGGCATGTACCAATGTAATTTTTCCGAGTCCTATGTACTTTCTAAGAGTTTTTAGACACCACTGACAGACGGTGAAGGAACACATCGTGTGAAAACCTGGACTTGTAATTTCACAATTATAAGTTTGAGATCACCAACCCGTCTTGATCAAGTGTGGTGATTAGTGCATTCCCAAAGAGGGTTGATGTCAGGTAGGCAGCCGGTCATAAAAAAACAATTAGCCAAAACTATTTACAAAATGAAAGGCAGACAATGGCTTAAGCTGGGAAATTGCCAGGAAGAAGAAGAATGTTACATCGCACATGCCATAATGGAAAAAATAAATGAAGTACCGTTTTTGGCCACCATTCGCGCCACTGTCTATGCAATTTTTTATACTTGTCAAGTCATTGTGTGAATTTTTCTACCGTGCAATAAACCGAAGTTTAATTTGTTAAAACTATGAATTGTATTATTTTCCATAGTTTTAAATAAATATATAGAGTGTTACCATATAAAAAATTGAAAAAATTAATACCTTTGCCTTTGCGATGGCTGTTCTGATGTGAACCTCTTTCTCGCACAAGTAACACCATATCCTCTCAGTTGTTACATTCATATGAACACAATGAGATGGAAAATTCTGGAACAGATAACTGTATTATAAGGAGACATAAATATGCTTATTATTTGTAATTAAAGGAAAGCTTGTTTAGAAAAAGTATTAAAATCTTTCAGTAAAGTATCTTTAATATTGGTTTGTATTGTCAAACTAAACAGTAAATTACTTGTTCTTAATTTAAATATGTATTATATATTTACTAAGTAGACATTGCTATCAACTTCAAGATTTTTTATATTTTTAATATAAAATTGTTGATTAGTATGACAATTCAAACATATACAAAGATACAGTTTTAATTATAATGCTAACAGAATCCAGATCTGTATTGATCGAAATCTCAAACTATATCAGTAAAAGCTACATAGATATCTGACAAATTGTTTTCAGATGTGAATGGTTTTAAAAAGAAAATCTTATATTTAAATAACAAATTCTCTTGTCAAATTACATTAATTAATGGACAATACTTATTTGTTCCTCTAACTCAGGGCTTCCCAAACTTATTTTGTCAACCGCCCACTTTGAGGGAAAAATATATTTAACACCACCATTTTTTGTCCATTGAACGACCACTATATACATATCCTATCTAAATATAATCACAAATCAACCCTCAGGCCTATACATAATCCTTTTATTTCTTGATCTCTTTCCCCCTTTTTAAGCCTATATAAGGGATTGTTATCATCCACTTTGGGAAATACTGCTATTATAAAGTGTAAATTACCTTTTGGTGTATAGTGCTGTGATCATTTTTAACTTCAGAACAGCCTATATGGTGACAATCAGGTTGCAAACAAATCCAGAGATTCGGACCAGGACAACCACAGTCGAAACAGTTTAGACTCTGAAAAAATAAATAAGTTTTGTGATATAATACCTCTTAGGAAATTTATAATTTCAGTTGAAGTAAATTATATAAAATGCTAACTTACAACTTTAAATAATAGTATTTCTACTCAATGAATTAATCAAATTTAGTTGAATTATATTTTATTTTTATTTTAAATATGAAATGCCATTGAGGTATTTAATCATTTCAAATACAGACAAAGTGTTTACACACCAGACTTTAGGTTTATAAGTAGATAACACATAGATTATAAGATTATAACATAAAGGTAACTTTTATAAAGAAATTAGTTCTTTATGAGCTACAAATTTTAAATGTCTTGGAAAACCTACGGTGTGTATACATACGCAGTGGCGGCTGGTGGGTTATCGAACTGGTGGTGCACTTTACTAAAATATTAAAATTAGAAAATGCAACAAAACAACAATTGACATAAAATATGTTTATTTTTTATACATTAAATCAATGCGACGACATTTTTCTGAAGCCAAATGTTCATTCACCTTTTTATTAAAATCTATACTAAGCACAGAAAGTGCATTTAGCAAGTGCATGGTATTTCGGAGAAAAGTTTTGATTCTTTTCAATCCCAATTCGTCATACATCGGGTGCTCTCGGTAATCTTAGGCCGCTCGTGCGGCGCTCGAGAACCGACTCATTACTCGGTACATTTCTATGAACTATCTTTTGTTTCACGCGTCAGGCGTATTAATGCGTATCTCATACAAGATGTATTAGCAGTCCTCGACCCTCGTGCACTCGCCGAAGCGCACGATATGAGTTTAGTAAAGCGCTCAAACTTTTTGACCATAATTGGACATTTAATTTTTTATACGTTTTTGTATGTTTAAAAAATAAATATTAAAATGGTAATTTAAAAATATAGATGAAGTTATATTTTGTAATTTTTTAATCTTTTGAATTGGTGGTTCAGCGCACGAGTGCACTTAAGGTACAGCCGCCACTGTATATACGTATGTGTATAATGGTTTCATGGTCATAATTTAAATATTAGATAATTTAACAATATTATTCCTCAAACAAATTTTAACCATCTGATTTATAAAAAAAATAACAAAGAATATTGTACACATAGAAAAATACACTGAAATCTAATTAATTGTTTTACAAAATCTTTATATTCATAGCAAATACTTGACAAGTTCAAGGGATGTGATTGTTCAGTCTGTATGATATATTGAAGACTAATGATGTATGCAACTTTGTTTGTGCAGATAACAGAATAAGGTTCATTTGGAATTGTATACCGAGTGAGAACAATGGTCATCTAAGGTTTGTATCACATGATTTGGTACACAATACCATTGCCATGCTATGATTGAGATGGAAGTATATGTATAGTGTTTTGGGATAAATTACATACTATTATTATACTAATATTATTTTGATGTTCAAGCTACACCGATGTACAGCTTCATCAAAGTCCATTCAGTAGTTTTTGTGTAATTAGTCAAGAAATATACATACACATTCAAAAGCTTTCGCAATTATCATATTAGAATTATTTACAAATTACTCCGATTAACGCAATATTACTAAAAGAAATATGCATATACATATACAGATTCAAACAATTATATGTCACTACAAATATATATCTATATCTTTTATATAACATTAGTACATAAATTGCAATTCATTCACATTCAACTGCAGATAACATTGTTTGCATTGTGTTAATAAATTAAAACAATGTATTTTAACACTAAACATTGTATAAGCAAATTATATACTGGTGTTATATAACAATATTTATTAGCACATAAATATATATGTTTATGGAACAAGGGTCGGAAACAACAATGCAACAATTAAAACATATCATCGGAGATAGTGCAAATCCACCTAACTAGCTTTGGATAATTTCACATATCTACATAAGAAGCAGATTATCACAAGATGGTTTAGGCTGAAATATTTTTACTTTTATGGTAATAAAGAGGAAGAAAGAACCCTTTTAAGGTATTTTTTTCATAATTAGTAATTATTTAATGTTTAATTTATGCTAGATACCCGCATTTGCACTATCCCCGATGATATACATCTATATAATTATCAAACTTTTAGATAAAAAACCTCTGTACTTGTTGTCCAATAATTTTAGTTTTTTTTTTAACTCGGCGGGAGGCGAAAATATTTATTTTTGTAAATAATTTTGTGCAGCGCTGTTTTAGATACCTTTCGACAGATGCTCGACGGTTCGACCAATAAAGAAAATCGTGACGAAAGAGACTTAGAAGAGATTACTTGAAGTTGTTATCTCTTGTATTGCCACAAATTAAGTGTAAATCTACCATCTTAAACCTGCCTACACACATTTATGAAAAGTAAAATAATACTTTTACTTGTTGGTAATGGCCAGCAAAATAATAATATTCCGAATAAACAACAGTAAAGAACCCTCCAGCCACACTAGCAAATATTTCGTTTTGTGAACAAAATGGCTGAGCTTTTGGGCTATGTTTTAAAAATTCAAATATTACATATTATACCAAGCGTTTATTAGTTTCCAACTGTCTTTTTTAATTGAAAATGTAACACAATATAATATAAAAATTGGTTATATTCAATTATCCATAAAATAACTGTAGTTCTTACATTAATATTATTGTGGTATTTTTTACCCAGTAGCGAAAGTCAGTGTTGGTACATGGGGTGCGCTTCCCGCCGAGTTAATATTTAACTTTTATTTATTAATAATATTATTTTGGTTATTTATTTAAGCTTATATATAACTTATTTCTAAGATATGTTAATGTCTCTACTACTTTTTGATACAAAAAATAATATTATAGTTGTAATTTCTTACATGTTAAGAATGTATTACATTTGAAAGAAGTATATATACATATGTATAGAATAATATTAAATCTTTGTTTGATATTAAACAAACTACAAATCATGTTACACTAGTATTTGTTGTGTATATTAATTAGTTATAGTAATCTATTGTTGTTAAGTGCACCAGACACAAATAGAATTAATAATTAATACATTACACGTAATTATAATCGTTACGAGAGGGAGGACTAATCATGTTTACCTTTTGTTTACATAATATCAAAGTTGAATTGACTTGAACAACTTATACACCAATAATTATGTGATTAATGACTTTGTGTACTTGGAAATTATATTAGTATCTTTAACTTCCTTGATAGCGTTATTTTGTATCTCGTAGAACATTGCATAATGACAATATAAGTTAGGAATGCTAATTACCAATTATACTGATGTTACGTTTGAGGTTATGAGTAATAAAAAAATGAATTGCGATACCTCTTTCGACTGCCATAGCTCTTTTCCGAGGAAATCAACAAGTTTATTTAAATGTTCACACGTCACACCTTTGTCCATTGCGATAAATACAGACTTTGTTACTAAGGATATAGGTAAATACAAATTCCAATTATTTAAAGCACAGTTGTATCGTAAATAAACATTTCTAAACTTTAGATATAGGATATATAGTTGTAGAAATAGAAGAATTATATAGATAAGAAAGTTTAGAAGAACACATTTCGGATAGAGGCTGATAATTTAATTAATTACAGAAATTTCCTATAACACAAAACGTTCCGTGACGAGCGAAAAGTCAGGACTTAAATCTGCCATAGATTAAAAACAAACTAATGTAAATAGTATTTATATTAATGTGTATAAAATACATTTCTAACAAAGGCATGACAAAAGCACAATTAAATACTTATTTTCATGTGTTTATTTGATAGAACAAGTAAAAATGACCGGAATATAACATTTTGCAGCCCAAATGAATGTGTATAAATTATGAAAATATCCATTACATGTTTTCATTTTTTATTGTATTTTTTTATCTGATGATAAAGTAGACATTTAATAATGTCTAAATTAAACAGTATTTTAAAACCTCATTTATTTCTTTATAAGAATAATTCTTATTTAACTTATATTTCAATAACATTTTCTTTAAAACATCGTTCTATGACAGATAATATCTGTTTCAACACTGACTATTATAAAATTACTATTACTTGTGACAGATCTAACTTGACATTACAGAGAATAACAAGAAATTGTAAATAGGTAATAAATGTTTTCTTACTTCGAAGTCCAGTTTTGAAGATAAGTTACAGAGTACTTTAGATAATTATATGAAAACACGATGACTTCCGCTTCATCGAGCAGCGCTCGTTCGTTATTCGCGGAGTCAAAACAACGTTTAGCGGAAAGAGTGCAAGTAAATATGAACAACATAGCGTCTCTAGCTCGACAAATACAGCGAGGCTCAAAATCTAATGAGGTATTATTAATAAAAATAACATATTTCTTAAATTTGTTTGTGTCTATGGCTTTAAATATATGAAAAAAAAAAGAATAAGTAAAACGAAATCTATTCCATTTTGAACTACTGTAACTGTTAACTATATGCTTGCTAACGATTACTACACTAATTGTTAACTGTATGCGTACTAATAAATGTATTTCATAATTTCCTCAGTTACTTTCGAGGGCAGCAAGAGATATGGCTTCAACGGAACACTTGATGGAAGGTAGTGAGGAGAATCTCAAGAAAATGCAATTGATAGCTGTGCACATGGGCTACCAGTATGAAAATATTCTGAAATCAGCCCAAATGATAACAGAGGTCGGAGAACAAGTGTCGAATATGCAAAGATAAATATTCAATTACGATTTTCTGGATGGAAAAACTGAAACCATGAATAAGTTATTATTTAAACAAACTTTTTGTTAACTACAAACTTATAACACAAATGCTTATTTAAAGATTTTAAATGTTTCTTGTTGTACAAGCATAATTGACTGAGTGACTTATTTAAAATCTTATTTAGAGAAATTAGGTGTTTTATTTCCAAATATATGTAAGATTCATAGATTATAATAGAATTTATTAAATTAAATTTAAGTTTGTATAAAGAATTGGTTTTGTTAGTTTAAAAACTGTAAAATACTTTATAGCATACTTATAAATATGTATAATATTTGTCCTTGTAATTTTTTTTAGTGTGAAAATTTGAGGGTTAATGTTTTTTTTTGTTAACCCGATTTAATTTAATGAATTATGATGAGACCTACATTCTCTATTCTCCTGATAACAATATTTAAAAACTAAAAATGTATTCTTATTTTTATATTACAGTAGAAAATCATTTGATTCATAGTTGTGTTTAGTTTTATATAATTATTAACCAAAGACTATCTTCAAAGATTGCATGAGAGATAAGTTCACAAAACAACCATGTACATTTCTTGGGTAGTATTCATGAAACTTTTTGAGAAAAAAATAATTTTATAATTGTGTAATCTTCACTGTGGTGTGATTATTATTAGATAAATTGTAGGATATTTCTTTATCTTTTAAAACAGGGTCCTTTACTTTTGTTTCCTATCAACAAAGCATTGCTCTAAAAATTCTAGTTCCTACTGTTTCTTTTCAATAGATGGTGGTAAAACAACTTTATATAGAGTAACAGATTTGAGTCAATAGATTTAGTAATTGCAGTTTTAATGATTTTACGGGAAAAAATTATTAAGTTATTCAAGTTAATAAAATACTGCGATCTGAAATTTTATCGGGAACGCCAATCACAGCGAATGTCGTCACACTTAACATCTTTTTGTAAGAAATTTCGCAGACGCTGCGCTTTAATCGCTAGACATAATTGAAATTTACGCGTAATAAATTTACCTATGTTACATTTAATAAATTAAATTTATAAAATAATACCATTGCCTGCATACTTCGATGAAATAATATAAGCTCTTGAATAATCTTAAGAAATAAATACATTTTAGATTAGCTGTCATATCATTTATTTCATTTTCATTATGCACAACGTAAAACTGTTTTTTTGTTTCGGATGCGGGCGAGTCTTCCCTGGGCTGAAATTTTGTAATACCTTCTTTTGTAATTTTTGCTACGGTTTTTTCTGACACACCTAAAATAATGAATTATAAAAAATAATAGTCACTTTAAATTTATAATGATCATGTTCTATGTAATATATGTGTTAATTTCAGTTGCATAGTTTCATTACTATGTCACAAAGTCTATATTACCGAAAATTATTATATGGGAATTCTAAGAAATACATGTTATGGTTTACCTCTTTCAAATGTTGTTTAGTATCAAAGCACCTAGTTTCTTTGGTCTCGCTTCACAGAACTCTTTCAACTTTAATATTATTACTCGTACTAATCTTTTACTATTTTTGTCAATGTAAACAATAAAATATAGTTTTTTATAACTTCAAGGGAAAATGGAAAATGCATAAATTGACAGTTGAAAACAGTGACAGTAACGGCAGCATTGCTGACGACAAACTTCTTAAAAATCAAATATGACGTGGTGTATCAACAATTAGTAGTTACACATTTAAAGTCGCGAAGTCCTGAATAAAGCGCTTGGTATTTATCGTGCGCGCTTCAAGCATTTGTATTATTATACTCTCGTTTTAAACATATTTGTAGGTGGTATAGCCTACCTGTGGTCAAGTAACTGTAGCTCAAACATGTGCTGGTTCGACCGTAGAAGTACCACACTCTCACAGAAGATCGGCGTGAAGTAGCCTTTAATGGCTGCGTTTCGTCCGATGAGTTAAAGATCCTTTTTTGTTGCTTTTTTCCCAAAAAGTTGCTTTTTTTCCACCCTTGCCTTTTTCCTTCCCTTTCACTCTTCTTCCATCCCCTTTTCCCTAATCAAGAGTGGCAACACATCCGCAAAACTATGTTGCGATCGTATCCAGAGCCGTAAAAACATTTAAAAAAAATCTATGTTACGGATGTCCATGGGTGAAGATAGTACCTCCATCAGGTAGGCTGTTTGCTCGGTTGCGCCCTTTTACATAAAAGAAAAATATAACCACATTAATTACAATAATTATATCGTTTTAGTTTTTACACAATAAATGTTATTGCAATCCACCAAAGTGAAAGCAATTATAGTTAATTCATATATGTATTAACTTTTATATATTTTACTTCAGGCGACATTGCTTTTAAAAACCTACAGGAGTCTCAAGAAACTGAACACTTTAAATAAGAATATGATGTATGGTTTACACATAAAGTATAATAGTGCTAATATCTACTCCCATTAATTACGAAGGAATTGTCCTAAGATTAAATGGATTGAGGTTTTTCTAGAGCATGTAACCAACTATTATCAAAATTAAGTTCCAAATGATATACTCAAATATTCATTAAAATAAACAATTGGCTATATAACTTGTAATTTCTGATGCTTTCATTAATTAATGTTGAGGTATGTTTATACATCCCATAATTTATTCGGTAAACTGAGTTACTTTTACTGGTACGTTTTAAAAGCTAATCTTAATGACTGATGACGTTGTTCAAAAATTTGTATCGTAATATAATAATAATTAGTGTTTGAGGTACGGTATCAGTCTTGAATTTTCATGTGCAGCTTTACTTCCACTAATGTCTTACAAAATTGCTGAAATATAATTTTCGAAGTTGATACTTAAATGTTGCCATTACAAAGTTACAATGGTTGAGTATTATAATTAATTATAGTCATAAAAATAATTTTATTAATTACATTACATTATAATTAATACGGCATAGTACTATTACTACATTGAAAACAATAATTATCTTTATAGAAATATGAAAAGGAACTGAATTAATTTATAACTTAATGAAATCGAAATGCGAAATTTATGCATACATTTACTTAACCGAATTCGGGAATGTGATTTCACCTTGAACTACATAACCACAAAAGCGTCGTAAAAGTACAAACGGATTGCACTTAATGACATTTGAGCCGCCATTGCAATTACCTCCAAAAATTTCTCAAGCTATTTTATATCTTTCAACAATGGCATAGAATAGTTTATTGAATGCAATTAAGACTTTCTAAAAAAGTTTAACTTTATGTCCTGGTCGATTGAAATGAGGTTTTAATATGTGAAATAAATTAAGTCATAATAAATTACATGAATATATTATACAACATATAAATTATTTTTTGGTAAATCCTAAATAGTGTAAATAAAACAACGAAGTAAATACCACCGATCTTCCATTATTGAAATTTTAACGGCATAGTCGATATTATTATTGTGTTGCAAATCAGGAAATAGGAATCATATTTTTATTCCCTATTCATATTTTGTTTAATATTCTAAAAAGAATAATACTTACTCAAATATATCTATATTATATAGTAGCATATTTTTTTTATTTTAATATTGTTTAATACTGTTTGAGGAATTAAGGTAAACGAAAAAAAAACATTCTATGTTTGTCTATGGCTTTTCACTCCAGACATAATAAAACCAATTTCAACACGTTTTCAATAATGAATACCTATATTAAACTTTTCTATATTGACTTTTTGAAATGAAACATGATTTATCAATCCATGTTACATGACTCTTATATAAATTGTTGCTACTTACAAAAAAAAAGATGACATTAAAACGTAATCACAGTTTGAAACTACGAATTATGTGCATTAGTTCATTTGTTGCATAGCAATTATATTATGGAGAGTAAAAGTTATGCAAAAATATGATAGGGCTGTCTCTTGACCATTTATGTTTCAATGGTGTATTTTTAACTAATATGAAGTATAAAACCAAAATATTATTTGAATTCAAACAGGCTAGACAAAACAATGTCACATATGCAAAACTGTGGGAGTAACCTTATTTATTTTAATTATTCAAACTTATGTATTTTTTTAGTTAAAAAAAACTTCTCAGCTCATTTGTAATCTTGATTTCGATATCTATAACTTCGTAACCGTATTAAGAGTAGTGGCAACCCTAAACAAATTACGTGTATATCTGTGTATAATCTATAATTAGAGGAAGACAGAATAGTGTTTGTAATCTGTGTCCAAATACTGCACGGTTCAATTGCTTTCTATGCGGCGTAGACATATTATAATTTACTTTCGTCTTTCATTAAATCCTCTAAATATGTGATATCGTATGTAGACTGATTTCTTTAAGACAGATCGTGTCTACGTCGCCATTGTATCAGTTACCGCTCTAATTCTTGCGCTTTCGTTTTTTTTCCGCGACATCCATTATAACTGTATTGGGAACGAGGTTATGCAACCATTGCCTTTGAAGTTTTGATATAATTTTTGCCGCTTCGACTCGATAACAATTTTATGAAGTACTTTAAATAATTATTATTTTTATTTTGGATCCTGTTGCGTTGTTTTTAAGGTTTTTATTTGTATGCATGTGTACTGTAGACGGAAAAATTAAATTAGTAGGATAATTTGTTCGTGACTACAGAAGCGACTGGGGCTTACGCAAGTTTTGTTATACATAATTAGCCGCGTTGAAAGTACCAAATTGGCGGGTTCACAATGTACGGTGGGCGAAGTTTCTTAGCATCATAAAATGAACCTTATGTCATACAACATAAAGGTGATTTTGAACAGGAATACAGTTGTGTTGAAAGGTCTTATATGTTTTCCTTTGTCCAATTAAGTTAATTAGTTCAAGAGCGTTCAATCTTTAATTTACTGGATAATTGTTATAGTACTAGTATCGGGTTTGAAAAAAACATTTGACGTAAAATTTTCAATGAACACATAGTTCAGACTATACAGCCAATGTTAAGACCTCATTTTCATTGCGTTACAAAAAATCTGTACTTCTAGTAATGAAA